ATGTCGAGACTTTGAGCTCGCAGTCTGCCTGTTCAGGTTGAAAGTTAAAGATTCCACGACACTCAAAAGGGAGAAGGAAGTTTCTTCTGCTATCCTGGCCAACAATTTCACAAACACACACACCAGCAGCAAAAACAATTGATTGTTCACTTTGTGGGCTTTGTGGGGCATTGCTGTGGGCAAATTGGCTGCGGCGTTCGCCTACAAAATAAACAGTCGCCGGACTTTACAGCAAAGCCGTCTCCACCAGTGATAAGGCGCTGTATGAAATGTGAGGATTAATAATAATAATCCTTGCATTTTTATATTGTGCTTTATCACGTCTTCGAACGTCTCAAAGCATTTCACAGGATTTACTGTAAAGTGGAATAGCTATATCTCGTGGGCGAAACACAGCAGCGTCCAACAAACAGTCATGGATTGAGTGAACATTTTTTTTTGGGGTGGGGGGAGGTTACTTACCCCCAGAAAGCGATTCGCCAATCGACTAACAACCTGGTTCTGACTTACTGCTATATAAACAGAGGCGTGTGGAATCCGGAAACTTGCCTGAGGTTACGCCTCGCCCGGGAATTGAACCCGGGTCCTCTCATGTGATATAATGAGGAGCAGAGCGGGCTCTTCCCACCTGCTAATGATGTTGTTTCACTGCTGGTTTGCGTTTGTAACCAGCGTCTCAGCGCACGATTTGCTGTAAAATTTTAAACAGCGACCAAGAGTATCGCTCAGGAGATTGTGCCGATTGGCAAGACGGAAAAAACAGGCTACTGGGCAGGATGGGTCAGCAACAGAGTGCCGTAACAGTGTATAGTTTCTCATAAGAGCATAGGAATTTGCTAGGCAAAAGAAAACCGAGGTCCATCCAGTTTTCCTTCCGTAGTCCTGACAGCCACAAGCACATGTCATGTCCCAAATTATATACTGTATCCCGAGATATTATTTCCTAACAGAAATCTTATCTAACTTATTCTTGAAAGCATCAACACTTTCTGCTTCCACCGTCTCCATAGTGAGCCAGTTCCATCCGCTTATTACTCGCTCGCTGAAGTAGTCTTTTTCCGCAGATTTGTTCTGAATTTCGCCCCCCACCCCACCCCACCCTCACCCCTGCCCAGTTTTCCCCCAAAACCCTTCTAGGAACGAAACACCACATCTGTCGTACGCGACCTTTCTCGAAAACACAAGCAGGAGAGCCCTGCCAGCAAATCCATCTGCAAAATGGCAAGTGTCAAACTGCACCTTGTCCGTTGACTTGCCAGCTCGGCTTTTGTTTGTACAGCTTCAAGCAATAATAAGCAGCTTTGATTGTTCTTCGAGAACTGCTGGGAGGAGCGTTACACTGTATAGAGATCATGTGCAAACCAAGGCTGCCAACCCGTCACCCTCACTGTGACTGCCCACGAAACACACAGTCGCTCGGCCTCACGGCGTATCCTGAGAAGCGCTTTGAGACATCCTCCCGATGCGAAACTCGCTGTAACAAATGTAAGGGTTATTCCCACTGTGGTCTTCCCAGCTCTCCCTCCCTTACTCTGTGTACTCGGGCAACGCTTCTCTGTGTGATTGCTCCTCACAGCGCCTCTCAGCACACGCTGTAAAGCGAAGTGACTGTTTGTGCGCTTTTAGCTGGTTCGACTCAAGCAGTTTGTGGAGTCCTGTAGCTCAGTGGTTAGAGCACTCGCTTTGCAAGTGAGAGACCTGAGTTCAATACCAGGCAGAGGGCAAAACCTTGGGCAAGTTTCCTTACTTCACACGCCTAATAATAATCCCTCCAAAAAAACAAAACAATAATAAATTGGTCATTTTCAATCCACGACTGTTTGTGGGACATTGCTGTGCGCAATTGGCTGCCGCATTCGCCCACAAATATACAGTCAATTCACTCTACAGTGTGTTCTGTGAAGCGCTTTGGGACGTCCTCCAGACGTGAAAAGCGCTATATCAAATGCAAGGATTATTATTATTATTATTACTCGAATGCACGCTCTGGGATCCCCAAGCCCAGGCTCTGGAGTGTCAGCTTAGACTGTGCGATTCCAAGTCCCGACATGGGGCTTGAACCCACAACCTTTTGTCTCGGAGGTGAGAGCGCTACCCACTGTGCCAGGCTAACATGTTAATTCAACTCTCGAGTCTTGATAGCGAGCGTGAAGCAGGCTGCACAACACCGGCAGGTGGGGCCACAGCTGACTCCTGTCTGAGCCCGACAATGTCACTACCCGAACATCCACGTGTTTTTGCTGTGGCAGCCGAGCACTAATCAGGGAATCGAACCTATAACTCCCTGACCTGTATGTCCACATGTTACACAAGGTGTGTGTGGGGGGGGGTGGCATCTCCTTTATCCAATAATCCATTGGTGGGGTTGCAACTAAGTGGATTGAGCTACGACACTCCTCGTCTCTGCTGCCAAACGAACCCCTTTTGTCCTGAACAACCAACCGAGCAAGAGGTGAACTGGGCTGTGACACAGGTGGTTGAAAAGCAATCGTTTGCAATGGGATTCAGCCTGGCTCAGTCGGCAACACTCTCAGCTCCGGGACAGAAGGTCGTGAGTTTTGTACCCCGGGCCGGAAACTTTGGGCTCACAGTCCAGGCTCAAACTCTAGCACGGTGCTGGGGGGGGGCAGTGAGTGGAGAAGGGGGTGGAGAGATGCTGTATTGTCAATGGTGCCATCCTTCGGATTAGACGCTAAACCAAGGTCCTGTCTGTGTCTCTGTTCAGGTGAACGTCAAAGGTTCAATGGCACTATTCGAAAAGAGAAGGGAATTTCCCTCTCCCGGTGTCCTGGCCAACAATCCCCCCACCGCCCCACCACCAGATAAAATTGGTCACTCACTCCATGGCTGTTTCTGTTCACGTCTTGGGAACCTGCCTCCATTGAAAGCACCTAATCCGTTGGCAGCAGATTAATCTTTGAGGCTCCTTTATCGGTGCCGTGGAATCAATGAGAATTTTGTGCCAGTCTAGATTTGATGGCTTAGAAATAAATTGTGTACAAAATAAATGAAAACTTCCTACAAAATCAATATATCCACCGATTGTTCTATTTTTTTCTTGAATTGGGATCCAATTCAGTGAAAAGTGAACAGGACAAATTAACACAGCCATTTTGCCAATGATCATTGATCTCCTCCACGTGGTTTTACTGACCCCCAGTGGTAACTACTAACATTGCAGACTAAATCCATCAATGTTTCATTGCAAACGCATTTTTCGCAAACAAGAAATGATAAAAAAAAACTCCAGTGATTCATAGGTAACAAAAGTAAAACTGTTTATTTTTAGAGTCAGTCCCAATGCACTTTAAATCTTATACCCTCCACACTGAAGTTTTTAGTGCAATTGGATAAAGAGACTATTGCCCATGAACATGAACAGGATTATCACTTACCTTCCACTTCCCCGAGAAAGTATACGCAAACTACAGTAAACTCCTGATAACTCAACCCTGTCTTAACTTGTCACGACCGCTTAAGTCATCATGTTGTCAATATCCCGGACACATTTATTTATGTATTTATACATATGCCTAACTTGCGGCTCTGGATAACTCGTCACTGAGCCCATTTTCCTTGGCGTGACCGGTTTTCAGGCGTTTACTGTTACCTATACATGAGCTGCGATAATATTAATGCTGTTGTCTCAAATTAAGTCTCAAACCCCCCGTTTCCTGATTTGTTCCTGGAAGCCTCGTGAAATTTGTTTTGCGTTTCACATACCTTGTATGAGACGTTATTCCCATCCGGGTAAAATAAGCTACAAAATAACAGAAATCTTCATAACAGAAGTGGAAATGTTTCCGCCTGATGTTCTCTGCAAATCTTGAGTTCCACACAGCTGCTGTAAAAACAGTCAGGAGCTTGTATGGGGAGGAAATGCCACCCAAGTCTGGATTGATATATTTTCTTAGTATTTCAGAGCATCAAGAATTTGACAATTTCTTAATTACAGCCGTGCAATAATAATAATACTAATAGATAATAAGCCTTGCATTTGGATCGGGAAGATGTCCCAAGTGCTTCACAGTGATTTACTGTGTGAAGTGGAGTGGCCCAACTGCATGAAAACAGGCATATTAACTCTGCAACAGAGTATACTTCAAACAGGCATACTTACAGCAACACAGTGTACAATATTAACTAAAACAAATCTAAATTAGACAAGCCATATACGTAATAATAAAAACAAAACAAAACAAAAACAATAATAAATTGTTCATTTTCAATCTGCGACTGTTTGTGGGACACCTCTGTGCGCAATTGGCTGCCGAGTTTCACCCACGAATATACAGTCAATTCACTTTACAGTCTATCCTGTGAAGCACTTTGAGACGTCGAGAAGACGTGAAAAGCGCTATATCAAATCCGAGGATTATTATTATTATTATTTGTAGGCGAATGCAGCAACCAATTGCGCACAGCAACGTCCTCACGAGCAGCTTTGAAGCGATTCATTTTTAGCTAGTTCTTACAGAAAAAAGTTTTAAAATTAAGGACTTGCCTTCACCTCTGAGCCTCAGTCAGATATAAAAGCTGAAGCACTCTCGACTTGTTCAGTAAGTTACAGTGATCTAGCAACTCACCATAAAACGCTGTGATCCCTGCTCTCATTTCAAAGTATGACTATTTGGCGAATTTATCCGACTTTACACCTTAAAAGCATTTCCCACTGTAATAGGTTAGCGGGAGATTTTTTGTAATAATAATATTCCTTGCATTTGATATAGAGCCTTATCACATCTTCGAGGCGTCTCAAAGCGCTTTAAAGAATCCATTGAAAAGTGGATTGACTGTGTGTGAAATACGGCAGCCAATTGCGCACAGCAGTGGCCCACAAACAGTCATGGTTTGAGTGACCAAATTATTATTTTTTTGGAGTGATTATTATCCCTGGAAATTTAGTCCACTAATCGACTAACAACCAGGTTCGTACTTACTGCAAGGTAAATAGAGGCGTGTGGAGTAAGGAAACTTGCCTGAAGTTTGGCCCTGCCCGGGAATCAAACACAAGTCTCTTCATTTGTGAGGTGAGCGTGCTAACCGCTACCTTACAGAACTCCAAACTTGGAGGAAGCGTGTAGCTCATTGAGATACTGCTGCAGCATGGTCACCTGCACGGAAACACAGGGTAGGAGGTTGCTCTTCTGGTTACTCAGAGCTTTGATGTGAAGTTTGGAAAACTTGATTTTCCAGTTGCAAACGCCGACAGAAGAGCGGATCAGCCCAAAGGCTTGCTCGAACAGACCCAGGCACTGAGGACCATTGTGAACGGTGCCAGCGACGGCCAGAGCTATCAGCCCATGCGAGCTACTTGTGCACTTCAGCCCATCAGCACTGAGGTTAGGGTTGAAGAGCAGTCGTTCATCCTTGACCAGGGACACCAGACGCTGACTGACCACCGAGGCTCCGTGATGCTCCTCAAGCCGCTCCTCGTGGGTGCAGTAGGAGAAGTAAAGGACGGCATCGTCCCAAAAGTGCTGTGGGCCCCAGTCTCCAGGGGGCCGGCCGAACAGAGGGTTTTGTGAATTCAGAAGCTCAAAGAACCATTGACCGAACTGCTCACTGAACACCCGGCCATCAGGGTTCTCCACGGGCTCTTTCTGAGGCTGCGCTTGTGCCTGCTGCAGGTCAACAAAAGAGAATGGTCCATTCGTTAGAAAGATGCAAACCTCATAATATAATAATAATAACCCTTGCATTTGCTATAATAATAATAATCCTTGCATTTGATATAGCGCCTAATCACGTCGGGAGGACGTCCCAAAGCGCTTCACAGAATATACTGTAAAGTGAATTGACTGTATACTTTGTGGACAAAACCCCGCAGCCAATTGTGCACAGAGGTGTCCCACAAACAGTCGTGGATTGAGTGACCAATTTATTATTATTATTATTATTTATTTTTGAAGCAATTACCATCCGCAGAAAAGTGATCCGCCAATCGACTAACAACCAGGTTGCTACTTACTGCTGGTTAAACAGAGGCGCGTGAAGTAAGGAAACTTGCCCAACGTTTCGCCCCAAGTTGAGGCCCTGATGAGGCAAACATGGTAGGCAAGCATCAACAGCGCCTTGTGTTACTGCAGACCAGCCTGGCTCTGGCTTCGACTCCTCCATGCTACAGAGTCTTTTGCTTGTGGCTGTGAGTTCGAAGCACAATGGCACTCGAGCCTGGCAGTCTCTAGTGCAGTCGGGCAGGAGCAATGTCATATCAGAGGCTGTCCTTCTGGTAAGAAGCTAGTTCTATTCGAAAAGAGAAGGGAGTTTCTCCCGCTGTCCTAGCCAACAAGCCCTCAAATAAAACTGGTCACTCACTCCATGGCTGTTGGTGGGATATTTGCTGCATTCAAATTCAAATTGGCTGCTTTGTTTCACCCACAAAATACACTTAGTCACATCACTTTACAGTATATCCCGGACACCGGGAGAAACTCCTTTCTTTTTGTGAATAGCACCATGGGATCTTTAACATCCACATGAACAGACAGACGGGACCTCGATTTAATGTCTCATCCGGAGGAAGGCACCTCTGACAAGGCAATCGCTCCCCCATTAACCTTGCAATGGAGTGTCAGCTTAGACAATGTGGTTCCAAGTCCCAATGTGGGGCTTGAACCCACAACCTTCTGACTCAGAGACAAAAGTGTTACCGCTACATCAGACTGACACATCGAGTTCCGCAATCAATATTTTTCACTTCAAATGCAGTACTGTACCTGTGAAATATTCATATTAATATTCAGCGCTACCCTCGGCGGGCTCCTCGCCTCATCCTTTGCCCGTTGAAGCATCTGTTCCGCTGTTCTCCTTGCCTGCTCCTTGATTTCCGCTATCGCCCCGCGCTTGGCCACCTCCAATTCCTGCTGCATTTTCTGAACCAGATCTGTCTTCTGAACTGGCTTCGGCGTATAAATTACAGCCGGAATCTTCGGGATTCTCCTCTTCCTTCCTTGATCGCTCCAGTAATGTAAAGCCTTGTCAATGAGTTGCTGTTTGTCTAAAGACGATAACACGGGCACTTCGTGTTTTATCAAGTACTGGAAGATCGTTTTTCGCAGAACCTTCCTCCGTTTCAACAGCTCCTCAGCACTTTGGCTGCAATTCAGAACCATTCCGATGGCATCTAAAAGCAGACAAAATAGTCCATCGCATTTAAAAAAAAACCTTGCTTGCAGCTTTCTTCCACAGTGGACTAGCAAGATCATTAAGACTTTTATTTATTTATCATTAATAATACGAGGAGCCTTATTTTCGCCCACCAAATATTCAGTCAACTCACTTTACAATACATTCTGTGAAGCGCTTTGAAACATCTCAAAAATTTGAACAGGTGCTATATCAAATGCAAGTAATATATTACTATTATTATTATTATTATAAACAAATACAAAATAATAATCCTTGTATTTGATATAGTGCTCCACACATCTTCCAGACGTCTCAAAGTCCTTCACAGAATATACTGCAAAGTGAATTGACTGTATATTTGTGGGCGAAACTTGCAGCCAATTGCGCACAGCAGTGTCCCGCAAACAGTCATGGATTGAAGTGACCAATTTTGTTATTGTTTTTTTTATATATAAGTTAGGCTAAGTGCTCCAAGATGCTACCGCGTGTGAAGGATCACTATATAAATGCAAGTTGTTCTGGTTGTTGTGAACCGAGCAAGGCACTGAATTCCTTCTGAGCACCTGATGAACTACAACCAGAATGAGTCACCATCAGGGAAGAGAGCGGCTGCAGAAGAGAAACATAGATACTTTTGAATCAGTGACCATATCATCATTTTTCACCCCAAATCAATAATCCACAACTTTGTGGAATGTTATTTAACATTTTTATACTTACACTATGGGAGACTCCCTCTGCCTCCCTGACTTCTCTGCTGTTCTTGATACTGTTGCTCACTCTATCCTCCTCGATTGCCTCTCTGTCCTCACCCACCTCTGCGTGGCTGCACTCCCCTGGTACCAATCTGACCTGACTCACCACCACCACTTTGTTTCCTTCAATGGAGTTTCTCCTCCACCCTCGCCCCGTCACCCAATCGCCCAACGCAGCAGCCGATGTCCTCCTGGCTGTGTCCCACAAACAGCCATGCGGTGATTTTATCTGCTACTCTTGGGTGTGTGTGCGTGCGTGCGCGTGTGTGTTTGAGGGCTGTCTCCCTTCTCTTTGGCTCGTAGTGCCAAGGGATCTTTAAGATCCACCTGTACAGGCAGACGTCCCTTGACCCAGGTCATTTTTGCCGCGCCGCTATTTGTTTTTGCCCCACAGGCGCCAACTCAAAAACACTACAGATAACGACTTCCATTCCTGCGGGAGGGCCACTGCCGCGTGCAATTGGCTGCCGCGTTTCCCCCACGAAAGACGCGGTCGATTCGATTCACTTGACAGGTCTATCCTGCAAAGCGCTTGGAGATGATGACGACGGCGACGATAATAATAATAATATCCTTGTATATCGGAGTCCTGTAGCTCAGTGGTTAGAGCACTCGCTTTGCAAGTGAGAGACCTGAGTTCAATTCCAGGCAGAGGGCGAAACCTTGGGCAAGTTTCCTTACTCCACACACCTAATAATAATCCCTCCAAAAACCAAAAACAATAATAAATTGGCCATTTTCAATCTACGACCGTTTGTGGGACATTGCTGCGCGCAATCGGCTGCCGCGTTCGCCCACAAACATACAGTCAATTCACTTTACAGTGTGTCCTGTGAAGCGCTTTGGGACGTCCTCCCGACGTGAAAAGCGCTATATCAAATGCAAGGATCATTATTATTATTATTTGATACAGCGCTTTTCACGTCTTCGCGCGGTCTCGAAGCGCTTCGCGGAGCAGACCGCGCGAAGCGAATTGACCGGACAATATTTCTGGGCGAAATAGACCCGCGATAAGAGTGCCAAGCGCACGCCGCGTGCGAGGGGTGGCAGGGGGTTACCTGTTGGGTGTATTCCACTGTTGTTCTTGCAGCTCAGGGTGTCGCTCAGGGACAGCAGGTCACTGACGTCCAGGGATTGCAGGATTTCTGTGCAGCCCTTCCTCTCTGCCTCAGGGAAATGGGTCATTTTGGGGTCTTTTTTTTTGCTCTCTCTCTCTCTTTCTCTCTCTCTCTCTCACCTGCCCCTCAGACCACCCCCTCCTCCCCCTCCACCACCACCACCACCACAGTGCTCACTAAAACCCACTCAAAAAAACAAGCAGATGTCCAGCTATCAGCCACTGCTGTGCAAAACGCACCAGTCTCGGGCACTTGGGGGGAGGGTTTGATGCGCAGACGAGTGAAACCGAAACTGACGGCAAAGAGAGAAGAGAGAGAGGGGAGAGAGGGGGAGAAGGGTCAGGAATCGAAACCAGTGCGTTTGACGCGGTGCTTTCGCGTGTGGGGGTGGGGGGGGTGTGGGGTAACTGAGGTGTGTGTGTGTGGGGTAAGTGAGGTGTGTGGGGGGTAAGTGAGGTGTGTGTGTTGGGTAAGTGAGGTGTGTGGGGAGTAAGTGAGGTGTGTGGGGAGTAAGTGAGGTGTGTGTGTGTGGGGTAAGTGAGGTGTGTGTGTGTGGGGGGTAAGTGAGGTGTGTGTGTGGGGTAAGTGAGGTGTGTGTGGGGGGTAAGTGAGGTGTGTGTGTGGGGGGGGGGGTAAGTGAGGTGTGTGTGTGTGGGGGGGTAAGTGAGGTGTGTGTGTGTGGGGGGGGTAAGTGAGGTGTGTGTGGGGTGGTAAGTGAGGTGTGTGTGTGTGGGGGGGGTAAGTGAGGTGTGTGTGGGAGTGGTGTGTGGGGGGGGGGTAAGTGAGGTGTGTGTGTGGTGGGGGGGTAAGTGAGGTGTGTGTGTGGGGGGGGGTAAGTGAGGTGTGTGTGTGGGGGGGTAAGTGAGGTGTGTGTGTGGTGGGGGGTAAGTGAGGTGTGTGTGTGGGGAGGGGTGAGGTGTGTGTGTGGGGTAAGTGAGGTGTGTGTGTGGGGGGGGGTTGTAAGTGAGGTGTGTGTGTGAGGGGAGGGGTAAGTGAGGTGTGTGTGTGGGGTAAGTGAGGTGTGTGTGTGTGGGGTAAGTGAGGTGTGTGTGTGGGGGGGGGGGGGGGGGGGTAAGTGAGGTGTGTGTGTGGGGGTAAGTGAGGTGTGTGTGTGTGTGGGGTAAGTGAGGTGTGTGTGTGTGGGGTACGTGAGGTGTGTGTTGGGTAAGTGAGGTGTGTGTGTGGGGTAAGTGAGGTGTGTGTGTGGGGTAAGTGAGGTGTGTGTGTGTGGGGTAAGTGAGGTGTGTGTGTGGGGGGTAAGTGAGGTGTGTGTGTGTGGGGTAAGTGAGGTGTGTGTGTGGGGGGGATAAGTGAGGTGTGTGTGTGGGAGGGGGGGGTAAGTGAGGTGTGTGTGTGGGAGGGGGGGGGTAAGTGAGGTGTGTGTGTGGGGTAAGTGAGGTGTGTGTGTGTGGGGTAAGTGAGGTGTGTGTGTGTGGGGTAAGTGAGGTGTGTGTGTGTGGGGTAAGTGAGGTGTGTGTGTGTGGGGTAAGTGAGGTGTGTGTGGGGGGGGTAAGTGAGGTGTGTGTGTGGGGGGGTAAGTGAGGTGTGTGTGTGGGGGGGGTAAGTGAGGTGTGTGAAACGTAGGGTCTGGAGAGGAGAGTGAAAGGTAGAGTTATTTGAAACTGCTACAAGCAGAGGTTGATCCCTTGGGAAGCTGTCTGTGGTGGGAGCAAAGTAGCTGATCACATCATTGTACCTGAGCTGGTTTGAGCCGAAAACTCAAGTAGTAGAAGTAACTCTGTGTTAAGGATCACAATCAAACTACAACAAAGTATATTTTGCCCATAAAAATAAGAGTCACTTCACCTTACAGTACACCGTACAGCTCTGTATAAATCGTATAATCGCCTTAAGTAGTACATCTGCCCAAGTCTCATTCAAGAATTTATATACTATGCAAGTTTGACATAACTCATACTTTGTATAAGTCATATTAAATGTATGGTCCCAATTGATACGACTTACGTGAGGTTTACTGTTTTCTATGCAGTGTTTTGAGGCGTCTCAACAAAGTGATAAGGCGTTATACTAAATGCACGGATATTATTATTAAGAAAACACCATGGTTTGGAAATGTCATGAGGAAGGTTAAGGTTGAAGGAACAAGATAATAGGTAGAACCACTGAAAGAGGGAAAAAAAATTGGGGGCAGGGCTAGGTTTATTTCTTCAGTATTAAGAGTCCATTTGAACAGTCAGACAGGACCTCAGTTTAGCATCTCATCCGAAGGATGTCAGACACGATGGGCCAAATGGCCTCCTTCTGTGCTGTATAATTCCATTCTAACTTCAGAAATGCAGTGCTCCTCAGTACTGAATAGGAATGTCAAGACTACACCAGAGGTCTCCAACTGGCCGATAGCCACCAAGTGGCACTCTTATCACCCATAATCAAGACGACAAAAGGAAGGAGCGAGAGAACTGTGTTGTTACTGAGTGCAACTGAAAACGAAGCCAGATGCACTAAGTATTTCACACGCATCTCGACGTAAAAAATATAAACGCTAATGTTTAATCTGCGGTAAATATCAATTCATTTGGTCACTCCATCCACGACTGATTGCGGGACACTGCTGTGCGCGTTGGGCTGCTGCGTTTCACCCACGAATATACAGTCAATTCACTTTACGGTATATTCTGTGAAGCGCTTTGAGACGTTTCGAAGAAGTGATAAGGCGCTATATCAAATGCAAGGATTATTATTATTATATCACTTCCTTCTCGTTTTTATTGAGCAGGCGCGAGACAAGACTCCACCGCGCAATGTTCGACTGGTTGGAGACCGCTGATCTAAACTGTGAATTGAAAGTGCTGACGTGGGGCTTGAACCAAAACCTTCTGACTTTGGAGTCGAGAGTGCTACCGACTGAGCCAGGCTGACACCCTGAGCCTGATGCTACCACACAGAAAACTACTTGCTAATCGACATGTGGGAATTCAAATCCCCACTTGTCAGCTATGGTCTATAGTATTTCCAATCATACAATTTGCATTTAGATAGTGCTCTTCACGTGGGGTAGCGTCTCGGAGCGCTTGACAGTGGCAGAGTCTGACCCCGAGCCAGGGGGAGAGGGAGGGGGGAGGTGACCGTAAGCACAATTAAAAAGAGTCCAAATACTGTACTGTATAAAATACCTTTGTACAACATGGGCCAATTCCTGCCAAGGTTTAAATTGCATTTGCCCACACAAGGGTGTTGCATATGGCTGGGTTTAAACTGCACATCTGTGTTCAAACCCTTCATACAACCGAGGTTTTTTTTTGACTTAAGTACACTGCAATGTTCTCCAGTGTGGACAGCTGCTGTTTATTCTGGCTGAAAGCTTGAACGCATAAATTACGCCACAACAGCTTCTCCAACCAGTGTGAACAGAGGCGGCCAGTAACTGTAATCACTCACAGTCTCGTCTGGCAAATCAAAGGTGCGTTAAATGGATGATTGGGTGTCAAGCCCATTTTTCTTATTTTAGGAAATATAGTACAGTGCCTGCAATCTAAAAACACTTTTTGCAAATTCGCAAACAGGCACGTCAGTTGAAAGTTTTACAATATTAACACATTTAAGCTCCTGAGTAGCCCAGGAATGCCTACATTCACAGTGAACAGATAAGGTAAAACACGCTTTAAAAAAAGTTCCCGCAGATTCAAATAACAGATGAAATTCCACCTTAGTCCACATTTAATCTCCATTTCAGAAAGTGCAGAGTTTGGAAAATTAATAATAATCTTTGCATTTGATATAGTGCCTTGGCATGACATTGAGACCTCTCAAATCATTTCACACAATATACTGTAAAGTGGATTCACTGTGTATTTTGTTGGCAAATGTGCTGAATTCAGTTTTGACTCTAAAGCTACGTTTTCTGTCAGTTTCTTAAAAGAACCTTATCGAACACCAGCTCCAAAATTATTAAAGTTTGTCTTTAAAAATTTGACAATTTCTGAATGCTCCAAAATTAACAAAAGTAAATCTAGACCCAGGTGGAATTTCTACCCAAACACGTTTTTAATCAGATCCTATGATTTTTATTTAAATTATAAAAAGACATTGTAACTTGCTCCAAATGTAGCACAAGATTTCCTTTCATGGATTTCCTTTGGACAACAATTCACGGAAACTAATGAATCTCCAGTCATCGTAATTAAGGTGAGTCTCCCCTTTAGAGACAGAAAGTCACACTGAGGAACAATTTACAATCAACCGTTGGTCGTTCATGAGATGGTGCAGCCCACTCCCAATGCAATTTTATGTGGTTTGAATGGTGTTTATAAAGCTATAGAGCCTACTCTGACCTCTATTCCTCCACTGAAACACAATTCTCAAATCAGACAACCAGCCACAAAGCCTTTGGTTATCAATAACAATGCTTGTATTTATACAGCACTTTTCATGTCGGGAAAAAATATCAGAGCACTCCACAGAATCTTACTGTATAGTGACTGTGTATTTTATAGGCAAACGTGCAGTCAATGAAGGGAATTATTGGCCAGGACAACAGGAGAAACTCCCTTCTCTTTTCGAATGGTGCCATGGGATCTTCAACATTAACCTGAACAAACAGACCAGACCTTGATTTAACATCTTATAGGAAGGACAGCACCTCCGACAATGCAGCACACCCCCAGCACTATACTGGAGTGGGTTTTCAAAGTCCCAACATGGGGCTTGAACCCACAATCTTCTGACTCAGAAGCAAGAGTGCTACTGACTGAATCAGTAGCACCAGGCCGACACTAATGATGATAATAATCCTTGCATTTGATACAGTGCCCTATCACGTCTTTGAGACGTCTCAAAGCGCTTCACAAAATATATTGTAAAGTGAATTGACTTTATATTTGTGGGCGAAATGCCCACAAAAAGAGACACTTTGTAACTCTCCAAGAGGCTGCTCAATCCCATTTTACTTTTGATTTTTTTTTACAAGGCACCGTACTCATTTTATCTATACATTCAAATGTCTTCCTCATTCAAGGAACGATTGGCTCACCAGGTTTCGAACACCTAGGAAAGGCAGCCTATCCATTTCTTTTACTTCGTAGAGTACATTTCTCTTCCTGCACAAATATAAAGCAGCAGTATAGGCATCAAGTGATATAGCCCTCAGTTAACCCAACTTAACGTCTTCAAATATATTTAGCAGTTCACTGCTTTCATATTTGATCATGGGCAGCTGTAAAGGTTTGTCGGGATGGATGGAGGTTTGTTGCGTGTTGTGCCCGGTGATCTTTAGGCTGATGAATTTCATTTTCCAATTGTTGTCGCTGTTCGGACAGCGGATAAGACCAAAGATCTGTTCAAAGATTCCCAGGCAGATCGACTCTCTGTGAATGGTACCAGCCACCGCTATGATAACTAGTCCGTGAGGCGAATGGATGCATTTCAGCCCGCCGCCACTGAGGTTGGGATTGAGGAACAAGTTCTCGTCCTTTGTCAAGGCTAGTAACCGCAGGCTGACCATCTCTGCACCGTGATAAGCCTCCACTTGCTCCTCAGAGGTTTTGTAAGCAAATTTCAGTTCAGAGTCTTCCCAAAAGTGCTGGGGGCCCCATTCTTTTGGCTGTTCTCCCATCAAAGGGCTCTGAGAATTGAGCAGCTGGTAAAACCAATGGCTGAATTGTAGTCCCATAGCTTGGTAATCAACAGTCTTCGATTCATCTGGTTTGAGAGCAATATTTCCTGCAACCTCATTTTTCTAATGGGAAAAGAAAAACATGAACACTTAACCATGGGCAAGGAAATCAACGCACATCTGAGTAAGCAAAATGAAGCACAGTGTTTTTTGGGGGCGGGTTCAATACGCTCACTGTGAAGTTGTAATTGTGCCTGAGCAAACTGTTATGTTTGTTATGTTATGTTCTGTTATGCGAGTTATGTAAACCACGTGTACAGAGGGAATTGCAGGTGTCCTTCGTTGTTTAATTACGGAACACAAAGAATCACCGAGTTGATTAAGGACAAAAGCCTTCTTCTGGCTTTAAGTGCTTTGAGCACACCCTCCCGATTTGAAAGGCTGTATAAATGCGCAGAAACTTGGCCATTTAAATCATATTTATCCATGTTTAACCTTTAACACTGACTGGAGCAGATTTACAGAATAATCTAGAAGTTTGTTTATGTATAAACATTGTGCTCAATTTACAGAATACAGTGTCCTGTGTGTACAGTTTACATCCAGTAGTTTGGTTTGCTTTTGGGAGGGATTCAGAGCTTTGCCTTATGTAGATGGACACTGCAAACATTGTACACGAAACGCTAGAGGGAATTCAATAAGAGGTAATCAAATGTTCCTCAACTGTTGCAGAGAATTTAGGAGAAAGAAATACCACCAGCACTTTGTGACTTAAATTCTCAACAAACAGCTTTGGAGGCAGAAAATCTGGCCTTCACATTCATCTCCCAAGTATACTAGGTTTAACAGGTATAACCGATCAGTATCAAAAATATCTGGATAAATGGCAAAAAAATGACTGTTTTTCTAAGGGGGTGGGGGTGAGGGGAAGAAGGTGAAATAAAGCTTTTTCTTCATCTTTTTGTTCAAAACGGGCACTAAGAATGTCTGATTGTGGGCTATTATTTGAAGATAGTGGACATAGAACCCCCTCCTGCCTCAGAAAGTATCCTTGCTGTATAGGTTCACATTATCTGAATTTTGAAGTTATCAGAGTGGTATTTTTTGTTTGTTTTCATAGCCAATTGTTTAAAGAGAAATTCAATCTATAAACAAGTTTTTAAAAAAAAGTAATTTCTAAACATAAGGCAGAAACATTTGACTATAACATTCAGGTGGACATTATTTGAGAAAAGGGAGTTTTTCCTTCCGTGTTTTAGCCTCCACATTAAATTAGTCATTCACTTCATGGCTGTATATGGGTCATTGCTGTGCATAAATTGGCTGCTGTGTTCACCTGCAAAATACACAGTCACTACACTTTACATAAATCCAACCAAGTGCTTTGTCTTTCAAATGTGAAATGCACTAAATCAAATGCAAGGATTATTATTATGAATGCAGAGATTTCAGTAATGTGTATGTGTTTGTATGCAAATGTGGCAGCCAATTTGCACACAGCAATGTCCCAAATGCAAGCCATCAAGTCAATATTTGATGCGGGGGGGACTGTCGGCCAGGACACCGAGAGAAGCTCCCTTCTCTTTTCAAATAGTGTCATGGGATCTTTAATGTCTGCCTATTCAGACCAAGGTTTAATGTTACATTAGCAGGACGGCACTTCTAGCTGACGCAGTGCTCTGCCGGCCAGCGCAGCACTGGAGTGTCATCTTAGACTGTATGAGTTCAAAGTCCTGTTGCGGAACTTGAAGCCACAATCTTCTGATTCGAGAAACAAGAGTGCTATCAACCTGAGCTGGGCTGACACGCATTGTATTCACATTTTGTTCCAATATACAGTTTCGGATTAAATACCTGGGAAACATTCAAACCCTCCCTCCAGTATTCTACAACTCTTTGAACAAGTTGACATTTCTCCGCAGTTGCTGGTACGATAACATTGTGTTTTGCCAAATACTGGAATATTGTCTCACGGCGAAGTTTTCTCCGTCTCAGCAGCTCCTCTGCACTCTGACTGTAACTCAGGATTGCATTTATGGCTTCTGCAGATACAATACAAGGCTCAGAGGTAAAAATATTATCCTAACTCTCAGCAGAGTATTAAAGTCTGGAATTAAATTGATTTATATATATTTATTTTTAAATTGAAGTTAAGGTACAGATCAACAACAACCAATTACATTTGTATAGCGCCTTTCACATCAGAAGGTCATCCCAAGGCGTTGGACAGTCAGGGATTTGGACCTGAGCAGCCATGATCTAATGGAATGGCAGAACAGGCTCGAGGGGCTGAATGGTCTACTCTTATATATATATATATAGTATATATGTGTCGTTTATATATATAATATATGTATATACATATATGGCTGTCAAGGTTAATTTCTATATTGTCCTTGATGAGTTTTACCCATTTAATTCCCCAAATTGCAGGTAGGTTATCACTGATTGTTCAGGTAGGTTATCATTGATCAAAAAAAAGCAATAGAAACCGAAATTTAGTTTCAGTTTGTTCAAAGCCAGTGAATCCTGTAATTGCTGCTGCCAATTCCCCGCTGCAGCATTGTTGGGTAACGTAGTAGCATCAGCTCTATGGTGATACTCTGCGGGAGTAGGGGCACACTAGGCACACGGTATCATGAACACTGCTCTTAAGAGCAGTTAATCAACCACGCATTAGCACAGAGCCAGACTATGAACCAACAGTAGCCTCACCGTGGAGCCGGGCTGTTACCGACATTGGTCCCACCATGGTGCCTGGCTATCTTACAAGCAATAACCACAAAACGCAGCCAAGCTCCTAACCAGCATCGGCCTCCCGATGGAGCTGCACCGTCGATGAGCATTAGTCCCACCGTGCAGTCAGGCCGCGGTGGAACACTGACCCCACCGTGCAGTCAGGCCGCGGTGGAACACTGACCCCACCGTGCAGTCAGGCCGTGGTGGAACACTGACCCCACCGTGCAGTCAGGCCGCGGTGCAACACTGACCCCACCGTGCAGTCAGGCCGCGGTGCAACACTGACCCCACCGTGCAGTCAGGCCGCGGTGCAACACTGACCCCACCGTGCAGTCAGGCCGCGGTGGAACACTGACCCCACCGTGCAGTCAGGCCGCGGTGCAACACTGACCCCACCGTGCAGTCAGGCCGTGGTGGAACACTGACCCCACCGTGCAGTCAGGCCGAGGAGGAAGAGGAGGGAGGATGAGGAGTGAGGGGAGGAGGAGGAGGAGGGTGAGTGTGGGAGGAGGAGGAGGAGGAGGGGGTGAGGGTGGGAGGAGGGGAGGGGGTGAGGGTGGGAGGAGGGGGAGGAGGAGGGAGGTGGGAGGAGGGGAGGAGGAGGGTGAGTGTGGGAGGAGGAGGAGGGGGTGAGTGTGGGAGGAGGAGGGTGAGGAGGGGAGGGTGGGAGGAGGGTGAGTGTGTGAGGGTGAGGAGGGTGAGGGTGTGAGGGTGAGGAGGGTGAGGGTGAGTGTGTGAGGGTGAGGAGGGTGAGGGTGAGTGTGGGAGGAGGAGGGTGAGGAGGAGGGTGAGGGTGAGAGGAGGGTGAGGGTGGGAGGAGGGTGAGGGTGGGAGGAGGGTGAGGGTGGGAGGAGGGTGAGGGTGGGAGGAGGGTGAGGGTGGGAGGAGGAGTGTGGGAGCAGTGTGGGAGGAGGGTGAGGGTGAGTGTGGGAGGAGGAGGGTGAGGGTGGGAGGAGGGTGAGGGTGGGAGGAGGGTGAGGGTGGGAGGAGGAGGGTGAGGGTGGGAGGAGGAGGGTGAGGGTGGGAGGAGGAGGGTGAGGGTGGGAGGAGGGGAGGAGGGTGAGGGTGGGAGGAGGAGGGTGAGTGTGTGAGGAGGAGTGTGGGAGGAGGGTGAGTGTGTGAGGAGGGTGAGGGTGGGAGGAGGGTGAGGGTGAGGGTGAGGAGGAGGGTGAGGGTGGGAGGAGGGTGAGGGTGGGAGGAGGGTGAGGGTGGAGGAGGGTGAGTGTGTGAGGAGGGTGAGGGTGGGAGGAGGAGGAGTGTGTGAGGAGGGTGAGGGTGAGTGTGGGAGGAGGAGGGGAGGGTGAGGGTGAGTGTGGAGGAGGGTGAGTGTGTGAGGGTGAGTGTGGAGGAGGGTGAGGGTGAGGGTGAGTGTGTGAGTGTGGAGGAGGAGTGTGGAGGAGTGTGAGTGTGGAGGAGGGTGAGGGTGAGGGTGAGTGTGTGAGTGTGGAGGAGGAGTGTGGAGGAGTGTGAGTGTGGAGGAGGGTGAGGGTGAGGGTGAGTGTGGAGGAGGAGTGTGGAGGAGTGTGAGTGTGGAGGAGGGTGAGGGTGAGGGTGAGTGTGTGAGTGTGGAGGAGGAGTGTGGAGGAGTGTGAGTGTGGAGGAGGGTGAGGGTGGGAGGGTGAGTGTGTGAGGGTGAGTGTGGAGGAGGTGAGGGTGGAGGAGGAGGGTGAGGGTGAGAGTGTGTGAGTGTGAGGGTGAGTGTGGAGGAGGGGAGGAGTGCAGTGACTGACCTCGCGGGCCCTCCATGCTCAGCAGTCTGTTGGTGACGGTGTCGGCCAGTGAGAGCAGCTCCCGCGGGTCCAGGCTCAGCAGCATCTCCCCGAAGCCTCTCCGCTCCGTTTGGGTCAGGCCGCCGGGCAGAGAGGGAGCGCCGCTCCCCGAGGCCGACATGTTGTCGAGGAGGAGGAGGAGGAGGCGGCGGCGGCGGTCAGAGCGTCCCCTCCATCTCCTTCCCCCCCCCCCTCGCCCCGCCCTCCCCGCAACCGTCACCGCGGTGTGTCCGTCACCCTATCCCGTTCGGCCAGGAACCCGGAACCCGGAGAAAGGTTCCGCCTTCACTGCTCTGCCTGTCCATCACTTCAATGGGGGATAAACTTTGTAATTTAGTTGCAACAACAAGTCACACAAAAAAAAACATTTGAGTGGTTTCCCCCCACACCACCACCACCACACTACCCCCCCCCCCCACCTCTCTCTCTTTATTTCTCACTCACTGAACCCTCTGGAGGTCTCCTGACCTTTTGACACCTGGACTCACTGTTAAGAAAAATGAACTGTGCGTTATTTTCTTGTGAATGTCTTATTTTTTTTATTTTTTTTGCAAAGGCAAAAGCGGAGTCCTGCGGCTCAGTGGTTAGAGCGCTCGCCGTGCGAGCGAGAGACCCGGGTTCAATTCCTGGCAGAGGGCGAAACCTTGGGCAAGTTTCCTTGCTCCACACAGAGCCCTAATAATAATCCCTCCCAAAAAAACAAAACAATGATAAAATCGGTCATTTTCAATCCACGACCGCTTGTGGGACACTGCTGTGCGCAATTGGCTGCCGCGTTTCGCCCACAAATATACGGTCAATTCACTTCACAGCATATTCTGTGAAGCGCTTTGTGACATCGAGAAGATGTGTAAAGCGCTATGTCAAATGCAAGGATTATTATTATTATTATTATTTTGTTGCAATGTCATTGTGATAATGCAGTATTGCAATACAGTATCACAGTATCACAAAAGTTAGCCCTGTGTTATTGCAATGCATGTTTTGTTATCACTATACACGTTTTACTATAACAAAAATAATCCTTGCATTTGGTAGAGCGCCTTATCACATCATCGTCGAGACGTCTCGAAGCGCTTCACAGAATATATTATAAAGTGGATTGGCTGTGTATTTTGTGGGTGAAATGCGGCAGACAATTTGCACAGCGGTGTCCCACAAACAGTCATGGATTGAGCTTCCAATGTAGGAAAGATAATTACATCTCCAATATTAAATTGTTATAATGTTATATTGTAAACTGTTTAAATGTAAATATTTTTGTCACACAAGTCTTCTGTTACAATATTGCAAAGCAAATATTTTGTTATGATATTGCAATATGGTTTAATGAATGAAGAATGAATTATAGTAAAGCTTAATATTATACTCTGCTGTACAATATTGTAAGAATAATTCGAACACCTTTATTGTAAATATTTAAATATCATTGCTGTGCAAGTGTGTGTTACGACAGTACAAAGCAAGTCTTTGTTGCACTGCAATGTGTTTGAATAACTCAGGATTCTGCTACAATATTGCAATGCAAGTGTACCATGTTACAACCAAAGCCTTTCACGTAAGTATTATTGCAATGCAAAGAGGGTGGGTGTTTCTCTTTGCTGTGTGATGAGCTTTGCTACAATACCAGGTGAGCTGGTGAACACGATCCAAGAATAGCTAAGAACAGGTAAGGTTGATGGCTGGCCCCCCAAAAAAAAGTCAGGAAGCTTGGGTGATGGATTTTGCAGTGTCATTTAGTTAGAGGAAGTAAAATGAGTTGTGCAAAGAGGAGGCTTTTGTGTGGAGAGAGGGAGGGAGGGAGGGAGGGAGTGGAGTGGAGGGAGGAAGAGGCTGGACTGGTGATGGGAGGGAGAGTGAGATGAACAGCTGAGGATAGCTGTGACTGCACTCAGTGCTGCAGTAGTCAAGCTGCTGAGTTCAGCAGAGGAAGGAAAGGATCGGTTTGCACCTCTGCTCTGCTGCTGTAAATATATATCTCCAGCAGCTGCTGCCTGGACAGGGCAGGGAAGAAAAGACGAAGAGAGGTTTGCAATAAAGTGAAGCAGTGAGAGAAGGTTAGATATGTCTGCAGCGATGTGCAACTTTTTAGAGTGGGGGGGGGGTGGGGGGGGGGGTGGTTCAGTTCATCAGCAAAGTGTCCCATTGGCAGATACAGCTACAAACACAGGTGGTAATGTCTGTGTAAGGTATGATTATGGCAGTTTGCTCAGGGTGAGCTTCAATGGCTTGCACCAAAGTGTACAGTACTGTATCAGTGTAGAAATTTAGCAATGCTCCAGGTAGAATCCCTGTGGGCGCACATTAATGTTAATAATAATGTTGTATTGTCTCAAAGAGCTTCACGGGATTTACTGTAAACCCGGTGACTATATTATTTTGTAAGCAAAACGGGGCAGGCAATTTCCCGCACAGCAACGTCCCGCAAGTAGTCGATAAAAATAATAATCCTTGAATTTGATGTAGCGCCTTATCAAATCTTCAAGACGTCTCAAGGCGCTTCGCAGAATATACTGTAAAGTGAATTGACTGTATATTTTGTTGGTGAAACGATGAAGCGAATGATCAGTTTTGTCGTGGGGTGGGACGGGAGGTGGGTGGGTGGGGGTATAGGCCAGGACACCGGGAGAGAGAAATTCCCTTCTCTTTTTGATTTGTGCCGCGGGATTTTTAACGACCATCTGAATGGGACCTCGGTTTCCCGTCTCATCTGACGGACGGCGCTTCTGACAATGCGACGCTCCCTCCAACACTGGAAGGGAGAGCCAGTCTGACACCTACAACAATTTGCCTGTGTTGTTTGTAAGCACCTTATCAAGTTGAAATGTTTCAAAGCGCTTCACAGGTAAATTGCTGTCTGGTGCTGTGGCTGTTGGTCTTCCAGGCAGGAGCTATGTTAGAATAATCGCAGGGTAGTTGTCACAATTTCTGGGCCATTGTCACAGTTGCTTTGTTGTTGTCACAGTGACCCGGCAGTGATCTCGACCTGATAGTCTAACCCTTTCCTAACGACTGCTCCTGGGAGTTGAGCTGAGGGCTGAGGCATTGCTTCACACACGTCCAAAAGAGACCATTGCAATCTGTTTGGCCACCCTGCCCTATCTCACATACCCAAACCAATCAATCCCCTTCGCCGTCAAGCGAAACAGTCCAAATTCTCTTCAACCCTGGGCAAAATGATCCCCGTGTTCACCATCCTCAGAATAAAATAGTTAAATCTGAATGACCTAAACCTAACCATCCCTGTTCTGACTTTGAGACTATGGCCCCTTTGTGCTCGATGTTTTGACGGTGTTGAATAAGGTAAAATAATAATAATAATGCTTACATTTTGCTACTGCCCCTTTCACGTCGGGAGGATGTCTGAAAGTGCTTCACAGGATATACTGTAAAATGTAGTGACTGTGGTTTTTGCTGTGTGCGCTGGGCTCCGTGCATTACTGCTGTGATCGGCAATTCTCTGTTTCAGATTTTAAATGTCTTAATAGCGCTTTATCACGTTGGCTAACCTGCACCAAATACTCACAAGATTTAGGTAAGCAGCATGTGTGCCTCCAGGTAGAGGGTATTCATTGGGTTCCATACAGATAAAGTAATGCGAGGGGAAATCATTTGAATAATATTATTGTTCAATAGTTTCTCAATTGAATGTTTTTTTTCCCAAGCGCAGGCACCAGAACTAACTTGCTTACTCACCGATTCCCTACATTTTACTATGAAGTGCCAGTGACTGCATTTGTAGGCGAACACGACAGGTAATTTACATGTCCCGCAAACAGCCATGTAGTGAATAACCAATTTAATCTGGGGCATTATTGGGAGAAACTCACTTCTGTTTTCAAATACTACTGCGGGATCCTTAACGTCCACTTGAATTGGCAGATGACACTTCAGTTTAATGTCTGACTTGAAGGACGGCATGTCCGATACTGTAACACTCCCCGTCAGCACCACACTGGAGCGTCAGTCAAGAATCTGAGCTGAAAGACTGTACGTGACTGACTCAGAGCTGAGATTGCTATCAAATGATCCAGGCTGACACCTCCACCCACTCTTTCCCACCTCCCATTACACAACCACCTGACTTGGTGTCCCACACCACCAGCATAAACCCCTTTGAGATATTCTGTGTGAAAAGGGATTACGTAAATCCAGATCATTATTGTTACCGAGGTATGTGGAATGGAAGGCTGGATGTGCCAAATAAATCACTCTCTTCAGAAATGGTGCGGAAACCTAGCAAATCCCATCCATCAATTTTCCCAGAACTGACTGGTACCAGGAGAGATATTGAATTAACCCCGAATGACCCGGACTGACACCGCTAAGCTGTCACGCTCAGCGAAGCACTGTAATTAAAGAGTCAACTCCATAGTGCTGTGCTTACCCTGCTTTTTAAAATTCTGCTCCCAGTGCGTGTACAAAGTACAAGGGTATTGTTTGCTGTTTGGCATTGTGTTTGCAAGTCCGTGGGGCTAATGCCATTTCGTTGGTTTCTGTGCCTGTTGCTTTCAGCCAGTGCGTCAATCGATTCAAAAGGCCCTCCGATACATCAGAGGAGGATTCAATGCTGTTTTCCTTGAATTTTCCCTGTTTTCCTTGTATTTGCTGGCTCGTTTACATGAATATTTTTTAAAAAACAACTTACATTTATATAGCATCTTTCACGTCGGAGGAGGTCCCAAGGCGCTGGACATTCAAGGACTTGGACCCGAGCGGGCGGTTCAGATCAGGAGGGGTGGAGGGCAAGGAAGTTGGGGGTAGGAGGGCGTCCAAAGGCATGGTTGAAGAAGAGTGTCTTGAGACGAGCCTTGAAGGAAGCAATGGAAGGGGCGAAGCGAAGGGACTGTGGGACGGACTGAGACGTCTCAAAGACGTAATAACTCGCTATGTCAAATGCAAGGATTAGTATTATTTGTAATTTGCTCTGAGACCTAATTCTACATGAAGGACACTATATCAGCGTGAATTGTCCTTAAAAGCTTCTGCAACTAGGCAGCTTCCCTCTAATTTTTGATGGGGTGAGAAAGGGAGCGGAGCAAGTTTGCATTATTCGCATATATTTTATTAAAAGATCTGGTACAAAACCAGTCTGTGTCAGGTACAGATAGAGGAAGGCAAGCAGGAAGTGTATCAATCCTGGTGTGTCTAGTTTACAACATCCTGTTTGAGGGTGTTTGAAGGATCTGAACTCCTCACCCTCCTGAGCTCTCCCTGACCCTCACCGAACCAGTGCACAATCTAGGCGTCCGGTTCGACCACCAGCTGTCCTTCCTCCCCCACATCAGGTCCCTGACTAGGACGGTCTTCTTCCACCTCCGTTACATTGCACTCCTCCAACTGTACCTTAACCCAAATGCAGCCAAAACCCTCGTGCATGCATTTGTCAGCTCCCGCCTGGATTATGCAAACGCTCTCCTCGCCGGTCTCCCCAGCTACACTATACAAAAAGTCCAGCTCATTCAGAAGTCTGCTGCCGGCATACTTACAAGCTCCGTGCTCACATCTCACCGGTGCTGGCCAGGTTCCACTGGCTCCCCATCACCGAACGGATGGACTTCAAGGTCCTCACATTCGTGTTCAAATCCCTTTACTCCCTGGCACCTCTCCGACCACCTCACTTCCCAATTCACCACCTGGCGCCTCCGCTCGACTGGCACCGGCCTCCTGCTCGTCCCTTGTACCCTCTGCCCCACCATCAGAGGTCGGGCTTTCAGCCACTACACCCCAAAACTCTGGAACACGCTCCCTCAATCCCTCCGCCCTGCCTCCTCCATTTTTTCAAGTCCCGCCTGAAAAACCTCTTTGACCATGCTTACCGCCATTCTCTCTCCCCAATCCCTTCACTGCCCTTCAAGGACCTTAGGACGGCCTCTCAATGTGAAAGGCACTATATAAATGCAATTTCTGGTTGTTGTTACTCCTGAGGAAAGGGAGGTGGGGTGGGAGGAGGAGGACAGAGGCATGCATACATTGCATACCGATCGCAACACACCTCTCTCACTCTCTCCCTCTCCTGTCTCTGCAGTTGCAGTGCTCATGAGATGGAGGAACCCACAGTGGTCACGCTGGTGGGCAGAGTCACAGTGTACACCGTTACCGGCTGCCTCCACTGCATTCGTACCAAGACTCGACTGGTGGAGCTGGGACTCCCCTACAGCGAGGTGGACTTGAGGAAACACCGGCATCTCCGGGAGAAAATCCGGGAGCTCACCGGACGTAGCACCGTCCCTCAGATCTTTTTCAACAATGTCCATGTTGGAGGAAACAGCGAATTTCAGAAAATGGTAGGTAACGATCTCTTTTCCGTGACGGTGGCAGGATTGGCGTTGCACCGTGTATGGTTTTCTGGTCTCTGTCGTGCCTGGTTGATAGCGCTCACTCTCACCTCTGAGTCGGTCACAAGGCTCTGGGTTGAAGCCCCATGTCAGGATTTTGAATTCACACGCTGCTGCTCCAAGTGAATTGTTGGAGGTGCTATCTTTCAGTTGAGACATTAAGCTGAGGCCCCTCTGAAACTGTTCAGGTGGGCACATTATTTGATAAGAGAAGGGAGTTCCCCCCACCCCCCGTGTCCTGACCAACAAACCCCCCACCCCCCTGATAACATTGATAATTCACTTCATGGCTATTTGCAGGAGGATATTGCTGTGTGCAATTTGGCTGCTGCGTTTACCCATAAAAATCCCACCTGCAATGATGCACTGCTCCCCCAACACTGCACTGGAGTGTCAGCCTAGACTGCGAGTTCAATGTCCCAATGTGCGGTCTGAGCCCACCACCTTCTTCCTGACTTGACGCAGAGAGAAAGAGTGCTATGAACTGATCCAATATGACGCCAAGGAAGGTGGATGGGAGTGGGTGGGGCGGGGGGGGGGGGGGGAGATGAGGAGTTTGAGGGGTAATTTGATGAAGGGATTTGGACAAAGCACACAAGTGGGTCAATCAAGAAGACTTGATCTTAATGTAGGGCAAAAGACGGGTTCAGGGTGAGCAGATTTCCTCTCAGAGAGGAAGTTTAAGAATTTTGGAATTTACTGCCTCAGAAAGCCAGATACATCAGGGGGAAGATTTGCCTGCAAACCCATTCAACAGTCAAAATAATCTGTGAAGTGCTTTGAGACGTTTCAATGTTACAGTATTGTATCAAATGCAAGATCCATTTCGCCCACCGAATATACAGTCAATTCACTTTACAGTGTATTCCGTGAAGCGCTTTGAGACGTCTCAAAGACGTGATAAGGCGCTATATCAAATTGCAAGGGTGATTATTATTATTATCTTATTTATCCCGTAACATATCTGAGACAATGCATTATTCCAGGTTTAATCTTATTTAGCATTTTACAGCACACAATACTCCCCTCGAAGAAGTCACTTTTCAAGGTTGAAGAGCCCTAGCTTATCTAATCGTTCTCATAGCTCAACCCATTTGAGCTACCAGCCTGTTTATATGAGAGCGTACAGTCAATAACAGCTTATCTTAGTGCAGCTCGAGGCACGAATTTGGACAGTGAGAGCCCACAATCATTCCTGTTCCCAATGTTAAGAACCAAAAGTTGACAAACCAGAATAAAACAGGTTCCACACTTCGGTCTGTGCTATGTATATTGCGAGCCCAACCCTCAGCTCGGGTCCAAATCCCTGACTGACCTGCACCTTGGGACGTCCTCCCGACGTAAAAGGCACTTTGCAAATGTAATTTGTTATTGTTGAAGAATAACACAGCCTGGATTGTGTTTAAGATTTACCATGTCTCATTCCTCCAATTGCATTGTTAAATCACTGAGTCTGGTCTAATCTGCAGCCTTTGATATTGCAAATTCTATGAAACACGCTCCAGCTTTTGTCCAAATGAAAATGTTATCTGGGATGGTTAAGCTACATTTCCTCTTTCTATAAAATCCCACTCAGCATCCAGTCGTGTGGAACAGGAAGCAATAATACTAATCCTTGCATTTGATATATACAGCACCTTATCACATCACAATATCTCAAAGAATGATACAGATTTCACTGTGAAGTGCAGTATGACTGGGTTATAGTAGGCAAACGGGGCAGACAATCTGCATGCAGCAACGTCCCACCAACAGCCATGAAGTAAATGATAAATTTTATCTAAAGGATTGCTCGGGCCAGGCCACTGGAGAGAATCTCCCTTCTCTTTTCAAAGAGTGCTATGGGATCTTTAAAGTCCACCTGAACAGGTAGGCAGATCCTCAGTTTAAAGTCCACCTGAACAGGTAGGCAGATCCTCAGTTTAACGTTTCATCGGAAGGGTGGCATCTCTGTCAATGCCCCTGCATTGAAGAAGAAGTTAAATGAAACCTAAGTTAAAATACAGCAGCCCCTTTGTCACTTCGGAGATCTGGAAATCTTTCCTTTTTCTAAGATCTCCTGTTATTCTTAAATGCAGTCACAGTGCTTCAATTGTTGGACATTTGGGTAAAAATTCCATTCAGTGCTCCGCTGATCTCCAAAAGCATGTAGGTGTGTAGTGCTGAAGAGAATTTTTTTTTTTAATCCCCATTTTCCCTAATAATACTGTATTAGAGCTTGGACTCTAAGGAGACTAAATTTCCAACTTAGTGCTTGAACCCACGACCTTCTAACTCAGAAGCGAGAGCCAGGCTGCCATCTGCACAGGAACATGTAGCTGATGCTTTATGTACAAAACTGAGGAACGTCACACCTGTATTTGGTGTCTGCTGAAACTGCAAAACGCTTCCTTTTTTTTGACAAGTCAAAGGAAGAGCTTGACAGACTGATTGAATTGGTGAAGAACGAAGAGCTTCCTCCAAATGCCCCTCCACTTCCCGACATGACTGAAGAGGAGGACGATACCAGAGATGCAGGTTTGTGACGCAGAAAGAAAGGACTTGGTATTTCTTTAGCACCTTATCAAGTCCAAATGTCTCAGAGTACTTAAAATTGCTGTTGAGTGTTTTTATAAGGTAGACATTTTGCAATACAAACATGAGATGAATGGTCAACTTTACCTGGGGAACTGTTGGCCAGGACACCAGAAGAAATTCCCTTCTCTTTTCCAATAGTGCCGTGGAGATATTTAACATCCGCCTGAGAAGGCAAACGGGACCTCGGTTTAATGCCTCATCCCCACGGACCCCACCTCTGTCAATGCAGTGCTCCCCCTGCACTGCACCAGTGTGTCCTGACAATTGATTTTGAACCCACAACCTTCTTGTCAACAAAATCCTAGCGCACTCTGGTACTCCTAGCGCACTCGTGGAGTCCTGTGGCTCAGTGGTTAGAGCACTCGCTTTGCAAGTGAGAGACATGAGTTCATTTCCAGGCAGAGGGCGAAACCTTGGGCAAGTTTCCTTACTCCACACAGAGCCTAATAATAATCCCTCCAAAACTAAAAACAATAATAAATTGGTCATTTTCAATCTACGACTGTTTGTGGGACATTGCTGTGCGCAATTGGCTGTCGCGTTTGCCCACAAATATACAGTCAATTCACTTTACAGTGTATTCTGTGAAGCGCTTTGGGACGTCCTCCCGACGTGAAAAGCGCTATATCAAATGCAAGGATTATTATTATTATTACAATTGTATCACCAAATCCAGACAGGAGGCTGAATTGTCTTTGCTTTAATGTCTAATCACCCCTCACTAGAATACAGTAAGATGAAGGTTTATCAACTGAATATTGTTGAGACAGACTGGAGGAAGCTTGCTGCTGTGAACTTTTTATGGCAGCTTAAAATACAAATAGAGATCCTGTTATTCACACTAATGGGTTCCCAGCACCAGACCTTGGCTCTTGCCCAACCAGTCCTTAACACTCTCTGGAATTAGGAGAGCAGAGTGCACCCCTCAACGGTTTATTTTCCAGAAAGTGAGCCATTTCTGTACGTAAGGTGTTAAGCACATGTGGTTTAGGTGGTAATCTTAAACCTGGTGATGGGTTTCCGTGTGAGGCAGACGCCTCAACAGNAAAAAAACACAAGTGAAAAGTTTTCGCACGGGAGGGAGTCCGTTTGCCCAATCGGTGCAGTGCTAGGCTGAGATCCAGTGAATCACCAGCGTTTCAAGCCTTTTTTGGCTAAACTGTACAAAATCTGATGAGTTCTCTCTCCTAGTATGAGACTGGGTCTCAGATTGACCACTGCTAGTGGATAAGAGAAACCAAGCAAGTGTGTCAGGCCCTTCCCCCAACCCACCTACAATTCACCATTTACATTTTATCTCCCTCTGCCCTCACACCCACCCCAGCGTTCTCTCACTGAAATCCCAATCGGGGTCTGGAATCAATGAGATTGGCGCAAAAGTCCCTAAAATAAGTTATCGTTTCCTTTTGGCAGAAGATAACACTCTCATCTCTGAGTCAGAGTCTTGTGGATCCAAATGTCCAGGCCTCCTGTGATTTGCGTTACAGAGCTGAAATGTGAAAGAGATGAATACGCAGACATTGTTGTGGAGTTCAAGCAGGCTGGTATCATCGGCACCAACAGGTCAGGTCTGAAAGTTCACAAGCACACTTCAGTGGCAGACAGTTAGTGAAGTGGATGAATAATAACAAAGGTTTCGGTGAGTCTACAATTCACCATTTACATTCTATCTCCCTCTGCCCCCACACCCATCCCAAGCTTTTTCAGGCTTGTTGTTGGAAGTTTTCATGATAATCTCTTGAAACCCTGGGGCCTTATCTCCTCTGCGCTACATTCACTTTTCCTTTGAAACTAAATGCTTTCCTTCACCTTTGATACATTGCCCGCCTCCAGCTCTATCTCTAGAGACACAACGCTGCTCAAACCCTGATCCACACTTTCGTCACCTCCGAGCTGGGTTTCTCCAACACTCTCCTCCCCAGCTTTACTGCCCCAGTTTTACTACCCCAGCTTTACTCTCCACAAGTTTCAGCTCATCCAAAAGTGTGTTCCCTCCCATCCTTCACTTGATTTCCGGGCCTCTGCCTAAAATCTGGTTTGATTTGGTGGTCAACAGTTATGTTTGTTCCTTATAAAAAAGGAAATGTTATGTTTGTTCCTTGTGTAGTCCTGTAGCTCAGTGGTTAGGGCACTCACCTCGATGTGAGAGGAACTGGGTTCGATTCCCAGCAGGGCAAACCTTAAGCTTGTTTCCTTGCTCCACGCGCCTCAGTTTACCTAGCAGTAGGAACCCAGTTGTTCGTTGATTGGACGATCGCTTTTCCTGGCATAATAATCCCTTATCAAATGTAAGGGTTATTATTATTAAAAAGAGAAAACAAACAATACTTTTAGAAATGCCATGGTCCAGCGAAAGGGACAAGGGGAAGTGGGTTCAATGCTGTGAAGGGAACAAACAAGGAAGTTTGTTTACATCTTAGGGGATCAACAGCCAGAACGGGATTTAGTAATTGAAATTAAAATAAAAAAGCAGGAGGTGCTGTAAAGTTACTGAAAATTAATATTGAGTCTCCTTGTACTCTGTCCAGGAATGTGGGAGAGGTGTTAGCTACACCTCCCAGTGTGAGAGGAATAGTCACGTCTTGGCTCGACAGGTTTTTGTTGTTGAGCTGCTTCACTGTGACTCAGCCTTTTAACAGGAACGCAAGTCAGTGTGATTTTCTCAAAAAGATCTTTAGTGTTTAATACCTAACAGAACGATTTATGGGTTTGATGTTATGCCACAGAAAGTCTAACATCCGATTTAAACCATTCCTTCGGCAGTCTTATAGTGTCTTTCGCTTATGGTGAACTCCCTTCATGCCCTGGCAGCTCCCTACCACTCTGACCTGCTTACTTCCCAACCCACTACCTGTCGCCTCTGCTCGACTGGCTCCTGCCTGCTGCTTGTCCCTAGTGCCCTCCGTTCCACCAGCAGCCAGTACGACCCCAAACTCTGGGACACTCTCCCTCAATCCCTCCACTTTGCCTCCACCTTCCTCATCTTTAGGCCATGCCTGAAGACCTTCCTCTTTGACCGTGTTTACAGTCACCTTCCCCCAGCTCGGCGTGGTGCTCCGCCACTGTCAAGCGCTTTGGGACACTAACCTGGGTGAAGGGCGCTTTATAAATGCAAGTTGTTCTGGTTGTCTTAAAAGGCTGGGAGCAAAGCAATTGAGTCAGCAGGTAGAACTCCCACCTCTGGGTCAGAAGATCTCGGATTCAAGCCACAAAGTCACTGCAAAGAGGGAGCCTACCTAATAAAGGCTAAATTATTGACTGCCCCTTAATGGAGAATCTCCAGTAGACAAAGCCAGGAAAGCTTGGGATGGGCTGAGAGAACTGAGGTCAGGGGGAAGGATCACTCATCAGATAATAAGCCTTTTCTTAAACTCTGTCCAGGAATGCAAACCTAGCACTCCCTATTCATCTTGCACAGACTCATGATCCTTGCACAGAGCCTAGGCTTTAGGTCATAATCTGGACAACAGGCTGAACAACAACAAATCACATTTATATAGCGCCTTTCACCTTATGCCACCGCTAGGAAGCTGGAAGACGATCTAGATGGACCTCGGTCTTTCTTTGTCTAGCATTTCTTATGTTCACGTTGGGAGGACGTCCCAAGGCGCTTGATAATCAAAGATTTGCACCTGAGCTGAGGGTTGGAATCAAGAGAGGTGGATGACAAGAAGGGGTGGGTAGGGAAGATGACCGAGGAGAACTTAAAAGTGGCAGAGCACGACACCAATCCGGGGAGAAAACGGTTTTGACTATAGGCACAGTCAAAGAGGAAAGTTGTCAGGTGCGATCTGAAGATAGGCAAAGAGGGGGCAAAGTGGAAAGTTTGAGACAGAGAGTTCCAGAGTTTCCGCGTGTAGTGGCTGAAGACACAAAACTAAGTAGTAAAAAGAGACAGGCAAATTAAGTGAATAACTCTTCCCGCAGTACTGAGGTGGGAAGCCCATAGTCATATAAATGAGAAAGATAGCACTACAGAGTTTGAGATTGATGCCTCAGATTGTTGCTGTTGCTTGCCTTGCCTTTTGTGCTGTTGACGTTTCTTCAGCAGATGATAATTGGACACACTGTTTTCGTTCATTGAAACTTTTAAATTTTATTTGTAGATGAAGGTAAGGCAGTTGATGTGGGAAAAAAATTGGTAAGCAAAAAGTTTATAAATCCTTTGCATGGAAAGCCAGAGTTTGAAGACAGTGATGCTCTGTACAAATTGGTAGAACATGACAAGGCTGCAGCGTTAAACATTGGAACTACAGCAGAATGCTATTCTGTACCAGGTACGTGAGATGCCCTTTCTAATTTCAGTGCTGCTTTGGAGATCTCCTATGCTAGTGCACCGGTCTGGCTCAATTGGGAGCACTCTCACCTGAGTCAGAAGGTTGTGGGTTGAAACCCTCCTCCCACCTCCACCCCACTTAGGGACATTGAATTTACATAGTCTACATAGTCTGGGTTGATACTCCAATGCAAATGCACTGCAATGTCGTAGGTTCCATCTTTTGGATGAGACCTAAACCAAGGTCCCTTCTGCCTGTTCGAGTGGGCGTTAAAGATACCATGGTTCTATTCGAAAGGAGAAGATAGTTTCTTCCAGTGTCCTGTCCAACAATCCCTCAGATAAAATTGGTCACTCACTCCGTGGCTGTTTGTGGGGCATTGGTGTGTGCAAACCGGCTGCTGCGGTCACCTTTAAAAATATTTTCACTTCCCTTTACAGTAAATCCTGGTGAAGGTTTTTGAGACGTCCTCCCGACATGGAATGTGTTGCATATCAAATGCAACGATTATTTATTATTATTATTATTTCATATTTTGTGTCAAATTGCAACTCAATGTCTAATTTTTCTATAAGTCATTTTTCTGTTTCCCATGCTTCCTGTCACCTTTGAAAATTGTCCTGGCTAAAATCCTCTCAATAATGAATGCCAGGGTTTGGACCATTTCATTGGCAAAGGCAATGGGTAACCGAAATTCTATGCATAATGATAGCTGTCGTGGAGAGTCCTGCCTGGCTGCAGTTAGCGAGGGTGAAATGCAGTGGGTTGGCTGATCTGAAGATTGCGTCTGCCGAGTAATTGTGGCTCACAGGGCTTTCAAGACTCAGGAGCAGTATTTGTGATCGGGTAGAGTGACACATATTGTTAAACCCTCTTAACATAACAGCACTGAGTTTCTCTATTTAAGAATAAAATGCATCAAAATGAGTCATACCGTTAAACCAGGATATGAGTGAATGTCGATCAGTGACATAATAATGCTAACCAGAAGTGTTTTGGGTCATGAGCAATTTTCTGACTCACCAGGACAGGGTATTAAATAGAAGCTGTAAATTCTTTAAAAAATGCTAAGTTCTCCTCATTTTCCCCCCTTCATTGAAAAAAAAGCAATGACATTGTGAAAAATGTCTGTTGTTTGTCTTTTTTGTTAATGTGCTCAACAATTTTCTCATACTTTAGCTACAGAGCATTCCGAGGCTATGAGAGAGTTGGTTCTGAATCTATATGCGGAATATATTTCGCCTGATGGCAAGGTTAGTCAATGTTCCCGTTGTTCACAGTATTCTTTACAGTTGAATCGTTAGAATAATAGAATTCTACAGCACAGAAGGAGGCCATTTGGCCCATCGTGCCTGTGCTGGCTCCTTGAAAGCGCTAAAGAAAGCATTAAACCTTTCCGTTCCAGATGCATATTCATTTCCATGTGTAGGTGGCTGGGGTACATATGTGGAACTCTTATCTTAGTGCATAGAATGAGCCGAATGTGACAAAAGAACATACGGCATGGAAGCAGGCAACTCGGTCCAGCCAGTCCGTGCTTTGTTTATTCTCCACATGAGTCTCCACCCATTCCTTTCTCCCTCCCTCCCATACTATTCTGCTCTTCCTAGTTTCCTCTTGAATGTATCTATACAGTCTGATTCAAGCACTGCTTCAGGCAGCGAGCTCCAAAATCTCATTACCCTATGCGTGCAGTATTTCCTCCTATCAGGGTGAAGTATTTCCTCCTAAAAATTATGGGACGGGATGGGTCAGGACTGGGTGACACAGGTTAGATTGATGAACAGCCGTTTTGCTTTCCCATTGTAGAGGGTGGATTACAAAGCCATGGCGAAGTCCACCATGTTTCAGTCGTACTGCCAGCTCGCAATCCAGCTTCAACGAGTGGAAGTTGACAATCTGACCAGAAAGGAGAAGCTCGCCTTCTTTATCAATGTGTACAACGCCTTAGTGATCCACGCACAGATCATCTATGGACAGCCCAAAAATGTGTGGCAACGATACAGGGTAAGAGCGTGCATGGGAAATGTGTTGCTTTTCTTTTAAAATTCTTAGTTGGTGTGTGCTTTAACAACGAATACACCAGGCTGCTCCTCTAGTGGATAATAATAATCGTTGCATTTGATATAGGGCCTTATCACGTTATTGAGACGTCTCAAAATGCTTCACAGGATATACTGTAAAGTGTAAAGTGACAAATCCATGCCCTGGCTTGTGGGATCAGTGTACATTCCTCAGAAGCTACAGTGGGTCTGATCTCAGGGGGAAATCCTTAAGGCTCTGGGTAACTCACTAGATGGCCTCACAGGNTTTTTTTTCTGATTGTCCGTTGCTCTTTATGGACTGGATTGGGGTATGTCAAAAGCAGAACTTCAAAGGCGGATCAAATCCCTTTGCCAACGGTGCTCTCTGCTTCAGTGCTGAGCTTTTCTAATTACGTGGCACCAGCGTGGAGTTCAGAGTGGCACAGCAATCAATTGCATGTTTGTGAGTGACTTGGAGCGTCCTACTCTCTCCAATTGAGTTGTTCAGCTTCGGAGTCACTGGGAGACTTCAAGCTTACAGTCCAGGCTGGCACTTCACTGCAGTCATGGCTGGGAGATGCATTCTCAGAAGAACCGTACTTTAATGAGATATTAAAAATGACCACCTGTTCAGCTGGATGTTATACAACCCGTGGTACCATTTGAAAAGAGGAAGGAATTCCTCCCAATAACCGACCAGGTAAAATTGATCATGACAAAATAGTATGCAAAATTGGACCACAAATTGTTCACTCATCTCTACAGCCTCTCCTCCACCTTCAACTCTCTCGTCCCGCTGAAATTCAGGACCATCTCCAAACCCACCCGATCCCCCTGGTACAACAACTATCTCCGCTCCCTAAAAGCCCAAACCCAGCTGCCTGAGTTCAGATGGCAGAAAATTGACCTGACAGTTCACCGCCAACTGTGGCTCGAGCATCTCCACAGCTACCGCCGTTCTTTGACGGGTACGAAAACGGCCTTCTACTCCAACATCATCTTGGAGGCAAAAAACAACACCAAAGTCCTTTTTTCCACCACCCACTACCTCCTTTGTGCGCCCCCTCAGGCCTCCGCAATCTTCACATCCAATGCCATGTGCAAGGAGGTCATGGTCATCTTTTCATCCAAAATACATAACATCCGCCAGGCAGCTCATTCTCCTGCCTCTTGTCACCCACCACCATCCCCTCTCTGTCTCCCTCACCCTTCCTATCATCGCCTCCTACCACGACCTACCCCATCCTACATTCCTTCCTCCCCATCTCTCCTTCCTCCCTCTCACCCACCATCACTTCCATGTAACCCACCACCTGCTGCCTCGACCCCCTCCCCACCACCTTGCTGGTCACCCAGCTCCCCCTCCTCTGCCCACTAGTGGCTGATGTCATCAACCAGTCCCTCTCTGGATCAGTCCCTGCCCCCCTCAAAACTGCTGTCATCACCCCCCTCTTCAAAAAACCTTCCCTAGATCACTCAAACTCCAGCCACTACCGCCCTATTTCAAACCTGCCCTTCCTCGCTAAAGTCCTAGAACACGTTGTTGCAAATCAACAACACCTCTCCTCCCTCTCCCTCTTCGAACCCCTCCAGCCCGGTTTCCGTTCTGCCCACCGTACAGAGACTGCGCTTGTGAAAGTCTCAAATAACATCCTCCCTATCTGTGACCAGGGCTCCCTCTGCCTCCTTGTTCTCCTGGACCTCTCCACTGCTTTCGACACAGTTGATCACGCCATCCTCCACCACCGCCTTTAACTCCGTCATCCACCTCAGTGGGACCGCACTCGCCTGGTTCGAGTCCTACCGGCTGGAGTCAAACCGCCAGCAGTACATCTGCACAAACGCCTTTTCCTCCGCTCCCACCCAGTTACCTGCGGAGTACCCCAAGGATCCATCCTTGGCCCCCTCCTCCTTCTGATCTATATGCTCCCTCTTTGGGGTGTCATCCACAGACATGGGATTCACTTCCACATGCATGCGGACGACACCCAACTCAATTTTTCCACCTCAGGTTGCGACCCCCAGTCCCCTGATGTTCTGTCAGCCTGCCCGTATGAATTTCCTTCAGCTGAATGTTGACAAGAATGTTGACAAGACGGAAGCCATACTCTTTGGCTCTCGTCAACGTGTAAAATCGCACGGTTCTCACCTCCTCCACCTACCCGACCTCCCCCCTAAAACTCTCCGAACCCGTACGCAACCTAGGCGTCAGGTTCGATCTCCAATTATCCTTCTTCCCCCACACCCGGTCCCTCACCAGCACCGCTTTCTTCCACCTCCGACGCATCGCCCGTCTCCGCCAATACCTCACTCCAAAAGCTGCTGAAACCCTGGTTCATGCCTTTGTCACCTCTCGGCTGGACTATTCAAATGCCCTCCTCACCGGCCTCCCCTCCACTACCATCCATAAAATCCAGATTATACAAAACTCTGCCGCCCGCATTCTCACCCGCACCAAACTCCGCTCCCCAAATACCCCAGTCCTCGCCAGACTGCACTGGCTGCCTGTCCCAGAGAGGATTGACTTCAAGATCCTCAACCTTGTCTTCAAGTCACTCCACTCCTCTGCACCCATCTACCTCTCTGACCTCCTCTTTCCTCACAACAGTGCCCGTTGCCTTCACTCCACCGGGTCTGGTCTCCTCCTCATCCCCCGAATCCTCTGGTCCACCATCGGCGGCCGTACCTTCAGCCACTACTACCCGAGGCTCTGGAACTCCCTTCCTCACTCCCTTCACCTCGCCCCCTCTCTTCCTATTTTCAGGTCTCAGCTGAAGACCTTATCTTTTCGACCAAGCCTTTGGTCACCTTCCTCCCCTCCTCCTGGCTCGGCCCAGGGATCCGTTACTGTGAAGCACTCTGAGACGCCGTATGGCGTGGAGGGCGCTTTATAAATCCAAGTTGCTGTTGTTGTTACAGCAAATGCTCTGAAGCACTTTGAGACATTCCCTCTCCATTGAAGTGAGAGGCACTATAACAAATAGAAGGATTAATATAGTGTTACATACACTTATCCCTAGAACCACTGGTTAGAGTTTTAAATCTGATTATTTACTTTAGGAGATGGTGGGAGGAGTATAAAACAGTTGCTTTTTATTAACCGTGGTCCTTTTCTCATTTCAGTTTTTTAATATTGCAAGTTACGTGATTGGCGGGGAGATTTTTTCCCTGCAGTCCATCGAAAATGGCGTCCTCCGTGCGAACCAAAGGGGCATAGCTCAGATAATGAAACCATTCTCAAGCAGCGATCCCCAACTGAAGGTCAGTTGTCCTTCAGACAAGACGTTAAATCGATGTCCCGTCTGCCTGCTCAGGTTAAAGATCCACATGGTGCTATTTGAAAAGAAAAGGAAGTTTTTGTAGCTAAGAGAAAATCTGCTACGTACATAAGGGAAGAGGGGAATAGGAGGGTTTGGGAGTGTAACCACTGGGATGGCCTAACTGGGTCAAGTACTATGTATCCAAATATGCAATGCCCCAGAGCCTTGGGACGGACGTCCTCCTGACGTGAAGTGTATATAAATGTATAATAATGGATATAAACTTTGTGGAATTTTTTTTAAACACGACTCTGGTTTGTCTCCTCAGATTGCACTGATGGAACCAGAGCCACTCATTCATTTTGCTTTAAATTGTGGAGCTCGAAGCTGCCCTGCAATACAGATATTTAATGCCAAGGTACTTTGCTGCTAATGTTTAACCTCCAAAGTAAAGTTACGTAGTTGTAGTGGCAGCGTGAGACAATTGCTGATGATGGAGCTGTGGCTGTGAAACCGAGTTTTGGCAAACACATCATCAAATACAATAAAAAATGCAGCCTGGATATTGACAGTTTGATGACTCAAGTGGTAGTGACACGTTAAGGCAGGGCTGAGTTATCAGGAGTTTACTGTATAAATCTTCATCTTTTTTGTCAGCTAAGGATCTGACACATACAGGAACCCATCAGCTTGCTTGAGTATCCAAATCAGACAGAGCTCCAAGTATGCATGCCACCTACGCATGGAAATTTCCCTGTGTCTGGAACTGTAATGTGTACACTCTGCAGCTTTCTCTGGAAGGAAGTATCTTACTTAATCTAATTCCAGAAAGCACAGTGAGTTACTGCAGGAGTTCACCAGCTAAGACTGCATAACTTACCATTGCTTGTCTGGCTAGGACAACCCGACCCAATAGGGCTTTGGGTTGAAGGGTTAACAATCCAGGGTTATTATAAGACTGAACAAAACAGCTTGATGCAAGAGGCAAGATGTGGAAAGGCACATGCGACTTCTTAATGCAAGATTGTGAAACTTTACTGGCGAAACTAATAGAAAAACAGAGAAGTGGCTGAGAGCGTTCAAGATTTTAGTGTGTTCAGAGTTTAAAGGATGTTCATAGACCCACTCCATCTGGTTTTCACTTTATCAAATAATGAGTTTTTAGTACAGAATGGGGCAAGTCTATACCTGTTCAGGTGGACATGAAGGACTGCTGCAGACATTCTGGCTAATAATCCCCCACATAAAATTGATCATTCCCTTCATGACTGTCTGTGGAATATTACTGCGAATAGGGTGTCTTGACATACGAAAGTGTAGAATATGGAAAAAAATTACTTCAAATTTACTTCAAATCCAGGATGTCGATGCGTTGCTGATTACCGCTGCAGAAGGATTCCTCGAGGGGGACGATGGTTGCTCCGTTAACTTGGGCAAAAGGGAAATCCGTTTGAGCCAGATTTTTAAATGGTACAAGGTTGATTTTGGAGGAACAGATAGAAAGGTAATGGAGCGATGATGATTCGTAATATTTGGTGTCATTTCAGATGTGAAGAGAACACAGTTGTCCAGTGTACAATTGTGCACGTATAGTGGCAGTCGGTAGCACTCTCGCTCACATCAGATCGTTATGGGTTCAAACCCCACATCAGGACTTTGAACTCACATAGTTCAAATATAGTTTGTTAGTTCACATAGTTTGTGGCTGATGCTCCACAAGCATTGGGCCATGTACTGCATTGTTGTTGGTGTCGTCTTTGGGTGCCGTCTATACCTGTTCAGGTGGACATGAAGGACTGTTGCTGGTATTCTGGCTAATAATCCTCCGCATAAAATTGATCATTCCCTTTATGACTATCTGTGGAACATTACTGCGCACAAATTGGTTGCCACATTCACCTACCAAACACAGTCACTGCCTGTTACAGTTAAGCCCGTGAAGCACTTGGAGCTGTTCTCTCCCCACATGAAAGTTGCTACATCAAATGCAAGGATTCTTTATTGTATATTAATTCATATTCCAAAACCACTTGGCTCACAGGATGATTTAGACTCCTGCTCCTCGCGATTGTTAATCTGGGTCAACAAAATTCCTCAAAAAGATCAATCTGAGATCAATCAAGTATTAGTATTTTGAGGCTATTTAAGAACCTAGCCAGTCAATTGGACTGGACTTCCAGGGCACTTTGAAAGGAACACAGGGAGGAAAAGAAGGTGTTCATCTGCATAACAATGATAGTCACTACACTTTACTGTATATCCTGTAGGAGTTTCTCCTAGTGTCCTGGCCTATAATCCCCCCAAAAAATTGATTCGCTCACTCCATAGTTGTTGGTGGGACTTTGCGGTGTCCCACCAAAAACAGTAACAAAAAACACTTTCCAGTATAACCTGTGAAGCCCTTTGAGACATTGTGATGACGTGATAAGCTGCTATAGCAAACGCAATGATGATAATTCCGAGAAGCGCTCTGAGACATCCACCTGTGGTGAAAGCCGCTGTATCAAATCTATTATTATCAAATTTATTATCACTATTGATCTTTTTTTAAAAAATTTTCATTGTGTTTCTTCTTTAGGTGGCAGCATGGGTGTACAACCACATGGCAGACGGTATCAAAAAGCGGGACATGAAAAAGCTTCTGGACAGTTCAAGTTACAAACTCTCTTACCTGCCCTATGACTGGCGATCAAACGCTAAGTAATAACGGCAAGTGGGCCTGTAGACCCTTTGCCCAGGCTGCTTACAGATTTGAAACTTTCTATTGCTCTTACAATGAAATGTGTTGGGTGTATGGGTACACTGTTCAAATTCTGATCAAGAATTGGTTTAAACAATGGGGGGTGGGGGAGCTATATTTTTCTCCCTGACCCCCATTTCAGTGTGTTTGATTACTAATTTTTGTTCCTCCATTCAACGAGGAGGGTTCTACGGCAATTCTCTTAGCACTTCACAAGGGGCTATTATTCCCGAGTGACGAATAGAAGCAGGGTATTTGGCTGCAGGATGGTGGGGGTTGGGGGGGGATTGCATTGTAAACAATGCCAGATTTGCCCCTCATTGCATGCATACATTTCACCAGGGGGCTTTGAATAATGATCACAACAGGTAATCCTGGTTGATTTTCTACTCATTGATTCAGGAGCACTGACGCCAATTGCATCACTGCTTCCACCCCCTATCCAGGTAAGATCGGCTAACTCAGGAAAGACTTGAAGTACCATCCTGTGACTTTGTCTGTAGGCTCCAGTGTTGCACCATATGGGGCCTTTGCCTGTGGGTGGGGGAAGAGAAATCTTTCAATGGAATCCTACCTAGAAGTGATGCTATGCATTTACCTGCTTTTGCGCTCATATTAAAATGGATTGTAAAGCAGTTTCATTGCATTTTGCTAATTGTTATTTTTAAGCACTCAGACTCTATCCCATGTGAAGAAGAGCGCTATATAAATGCAATTTGGTGGTGTTGTTTATGGGTATTTGGGCAACTGAACACATCTGACTGTTATACAGATATGCACATATTGCATTGACACTTCAACCAGTGCACACTTACATTTTATCCTCCGTCTCAAAAGTGGTTCCACAAGTAATTGCTTTCAAATGCAGTGAGTTTTTGGAGGCAAATAGTAGTTATTTGCATCTGCAAGGTTCCAAAAAACAGCCTTGGGGATTGGGGGTTAGATCATTGGAAGATTGTTTGCTGGGACATCAGGAAAAACTGCCTTCTCTTTTTGAAGTGTCTAACCTGCTCTGGAAAAGACAGATGTGTCCTAAAATGGGCTAATAGAAAAGTGTGGAAATATTTGCCAAAAATTGCAGAGCTTTTGCCAAAGTTGTGCGGACAATTGCAGGCAAGTTTGCTACATTTTGCAGAGAATTGTGGTGGGTTGATTGGTGCTACTGAGGGACGCATTTTGTGAAACAACCCGGATTAAAAACTATCGGAATATGTTTCCCGAACATGTTCTTATGTTTAAAATACTAAAAATGTCAATTTGAATAGTTCAGCAAGAATGTATCAAAAATTGGCCGCAGGAGCTCCGTTTAGTTCCGGGCTCGCGAAGTTTCCGCGATCCCACTCCCCGCGACATGCATGTGCAACCAGAGCCGTTTCTCCCACAGTAGCAGCATCAAGCAAACAGCGCACAGAGCCCTGGAGCCTAGCACACTGTATACAGATATGTAGCGGAGTGGGTGTTTGCAGCGGATTCCGCTGAAAAAGTGGGGGCGCACTTTTCCACTGGCCCAGCTGTTGACCCATCTAGTCTACGCGTACATCTTCCCAAAAGATTTCTTCTGCACATCTCTTTCTGCACATCACCCTCTAGCCTTGGATCATGCTCCAGCCATTAATTATCTTTGTGTGTAAAGTAATACTTACTAAAATGGTGTGTCCTAAAATTTCCCTTCGCAAGCTTGAGCCTATGAAACTGGTCAAATAAATAATTCTCTTTTGTGGGCAAAACATGGTAGCCAGTTGCCCACACAGCAAAATCCCACAAACAATCACGGAATGACTCACTAATTTTATTTTGGGGAATGTTGCCGGGACACTAGGGGAAACTCCTCTTTTCAAAATAGTGCCCTGGGATCTTTAACGTCCACCTGAACAGGCAGATGTGATCTCAGTTTAACATCTCATCTGAAGGATGGGTTGCTCCTCTACTCCTCTTAAGTGCCTATTATCTGGGCCAGGGATAACTGGGGTCTATGGACCACAATTTGGCCCACGTGATTATTCTATGCACACATAATGTGGCCCCCGGCTGCAGGTCTACACTATAGACGGCTTATTTTTCCTGCCTAAGTGAACTGCTTTGCATTTTTCTATGTTACAACACATTGAATTTATAACGCATCTTTCACACTGGGAGGACGTCTCAAGGCGCTTAAACTTCTGTCTGTCCGTCTATTCTGCTTTATGTCTTCTTGCATTGTTCTGCAACCCTCTTCGCTGTTTACCACACCGTTAGTATGGTGTTATCTAAAATCCTGACACCATACGTATACCTGAATCCAAATCATTCACGTACATGGTGAACAGTCGCAACACGGATCCCTGCGGAACGCCACCTCTCGCCAGCCCGAGAAGCTCCCACAACTGCTACCCATTGCTTTCGGTTTCCAAATTATTCTTTAATCCATTCGAGATACCTCTCCCACGATTCCACATGCCCCTATGTTAATCATGACCTCATGTGGCACTTTATCAAAGGCCTGCTGGAAATCCAGGCAGACTAAACCCACTGCTTTTTCCTCATCTACTTTATTGGTTACATCTTCAAAGAATTCGATAAGGTTGGTCAAGCATGACCTTCCTTTCGTAAATCCATGCTGGCTGCTCTTAATTATATTCTCCCTCTCCAGATAACTAGTTACTACATTTTTTTTATTAAGGTTGTAATACCTTGCCCAAAACTTTATTTTACCAACAGTTACTAATTTCCAGCAAATTGACTTGTATAAAGATTTTTTGAAATCCTTTGATTCCTTGTACTTTGCATGTTTTCCATTCTTTTACATTTTTAAAAAAAACACAAGCATATTCCTATTCTCTTTCTTCCCACCTAAACCTGTTACTAATCAAGAACTTGAACAAAACAGTGAACCTACATCAAATACTCTTTATATTTGATACTAAATCTAGTATTTCAGTTCTTCTGTGCTTAGATTTCCTCATTTGTTCCATCAGAAAAGGATATGTGCAGACTAAATTTTAAAAAAGGTGAGTTTAATTCACTGCCAGTGCAAAATAAAATAAATTTCTCTCCAATCTGTCCTTAAGGCAAAAAATATTTTTGGTGTTCAAATCCAGAGGCACTCACAACCCTCTGGTATGTTGTCCATTTTGCCATTCAATTATGGATGGTAACACAGCTAAACTTGATCCTGTCCTCCCATTGCAGCATTAAGTCAGTCTTAAATGAATCCAGCATCCTACCCTCTACCACCTTTAACCTGTTCCAGTTGTTAATATCTTCTATGTAAAGAAATACTTATTAAAATGATCCATCCTAAAATTGCCCTTCAGAACCCTAAATGTCTGAAACCTGGTGGAACAAATAATTATCTTCCCAAATAATAATAATACAGTAAATTCCTGCTATGTCGTCACTCCAATGGGGAAGAGCTCAGTGACTATATCCAGGGTGACTATCCAGACATGAGACTTCTGGGGCCACAAGGGGCAATTTGGACGGGAGGCCCAATACTAACACACAATAATAATCCTTGCATTTGATATAGTGCTTTTCACATCTTCGAGACATCTTAAAGCACTTCACAGAATATATTGTAAAGTGAATTGACTGTATATTTGTGGGTGAAACGCACACGTACTATTCCTGCGCAGAGCGAGCAGCTGTCAGGGTGATAGAACAGCCCTGACCCCCACAACGATCAGTTTATTTGTTCATTTAAGTTAAATACAGTACAATTTTAGGTATAGGGGTATGTGTCTATAGAACATTTCTTTGGTTCGTTTTGCTCACTTTAACCTGAATCACTTTAACAATCACGAGTTTGCTGAATGGCTTGGCTCTTCACGAGAGTTCGCTGAGCAGCTGGCTTGAGTGGTTCAGGCAACTTTGTTCCGATTATATATCCGATATTTTACTTATTGGGATGTATCGACAGCGACTTTACAAGTTAAGCTGGGCCAATAGAAAAGGTGCAAAAATATTGGCCAAACATTTAGGGGAGATTGATTGGTGCTATTGAGGCACATTTTACTGCCAACCTAGAATTTTTGCTTTATTGATCAAAACTAAACATGAGGAAATAGCACAAAAAAAACTTAATGCTTCTTTAAAGAAAAACTGGTTGGCTCATTTCAATTGCGGGGGTGTGGTGGTGGATGAGGGGGAGGCGAGGGTTGACGGTACAGGACACCAGTGAGCCTACAGGAGCTCACCACCTCCTGCCTCTCAGGGCTCAGCACAGCACATTGACAGAGAAACAGAGCGAGTCACACACACTCATGGACACAGAGCGAGATACACATACTCACTCACAGACACAGAGCGAGAGACACACTCACTCACAGACACAGAGCGAAAAACAAACACACACTCAGACACAGAGTGAGAGACACACACAGACACAGAGCGAGAGACACACTCACTCACAGACACAGAGCGAAAAACACACACACACTCAGACACACTCACAGCACGAGACACACACACTCACAGGCACAGAGCGACACACACACACACGCACACTCACAGACACAGCGAGAGACACACACACACTCACAGGTACAGAGCGAGACACACACACACACGCACAGGCACAGAGTGAGACACACCCACACTCGCAGACACAGAGCAAGACACACACACTCAGATAGAGTCACCCACACTCAGAAACAGAGCGAGACACACACACACAGGCACAGAGCAAGAGACACACACACACTCACAGACACAGAGCGAGACACACACACAGGCACAGAGCGAGACACACACACATTCACAGAGCGAGAGACACACACACTTAGACACAGAGCGAGACACACACACCCACACTCACAGACAGTCACCCACATTCACAGACACAGAGAGAGTCATCGACACTCACAGAGAGTCACCCACACTCACAGGCACAGAGAGAGTCACCCACACTCACAGGCATAGAGAGAGTCGCCCACACTCACAGGCACAGAGAGAGTCGCCCACACTCACAGGCACAGAGAGAGTCGCCCACACTCACAGGCACAGTCACCCACACTCACAGGCACAGTCACCCACACTCACAGGCACAAAGAGAGTCACACACACTCAAGACATAGAGAGAGTCACCCACACTCACCGACAGAGAGTCACCCACACTCACAGACACAGAATGAGTCACCCACCCTCACAGACAGAGAGTCACCCACACTCAAGAGTCATCCAAATTCAGACTCACACACACTCACAGACGCAGAGAGACACAGACACAGAGAAAGACACAGCCAGACACAGAGACATACACTCACAGAGACACTCGCAAACACATGGAGACACACAGAAACACTCACACACACACACACACACACACAGACGCACACAGAGACACACTCACAAATAAGACACATATTCACTCATACACACTCACAGAGACTCACACACACAGGCAGAGACTCACAGACACTCACTCACTCACACAGACAATCTCAACAGCAGGGCCTCCAAGTGAAGCCAATTTCCCACTTGCGCTGCTCCGTGGAAAGTGCGTCTGGAACTGCCCAGTGATAAACAGCCGAGAGGCCCTCCCCCAGCTCACTGTGCGTCTCCAGAGGCCCGGGGACCAGAAAGTACATTTTTTTTAGCGGGTCTGTAGCAGATTCCTCGTGAGAAGTGCGTCGCTCTTTTCTATTGGCCCAGGTCCAAAGTTTTATGTCTCATTGAGAGCACGACAGCTCCAAAAATGCAGTGCTGCGCATTGGTCTGGACTGAACCCAAGTCTTATCAGCAGTCCAGCCTCAAATCTTGATCGGAAAAATAAATTGTGGATCAGGAAGATTCCCTCTCGGGAGGATCCAGCCCACAAAACTACAATGTTAAATTTAAGAAAAAGCTTCGAGATGGTCTGAAATCTACTGCTTCAAAACAATGGGAGTCTCAAAATACACCACCCTTGAACTAGAGGGGAAATGGGGGTGCACACAGCCACCTAAAGATTATTTTAGTCTTTCACAATAAACGGGTGTTAATTAACTACCTCTCACAACACTTCAGTTAATAATTGTTACAAGTCAACAAATCCCAACGCTATGTCAATACAATAAGAAAGTTAATTCTATTCACAGATTGTTGACCAGTCTGTTATGATCCTAATATTAGAGCCGTAAAAGGAATCAGTGAAAGAGTTGACGTGTTTATAAACACAAGAAAACCACACGCAAAGTCCACCACAGAGCTTGTAACTGCAATAGATTGCTGCAAATGTGGACTTGCTTAAAATATTCTTATCAGCGCCCCTAGATAACTTCCTTTTTATTGCCTTCAGCCCTGTGGTTTCACTGCTTCCAGCAACTGTTTTAAGGCATTTCTCCATTCATAAAAACAGGCCCGTTAGTCCAGGACAATAAATTTGAAAGGTTTAATGAGGTTTACGTTCTGAAAAGGAAAGGAGAAATAGATATAAAGACGCCTGTTAGGTGGGGAAGATTTTGCAACTCAAAGGGTGGAGGTTTTTAATTTTTTTTATTGAATTACTTTGCGCCTGACCCTAAACAAAATGTTAGCAAATAGTTAAAGCCATTAGTCACAGGGTCATATAACTTAGCTAGATTAAGGGGACTGTGGGACGGAGTTTCAAAGGGTGGGTGTAGAAAGCCCGACCATCGATGTTGGGATGGGCAGAGTGGGGGGGGGACATGGAACAGACCAAGAACCACTATCCGTTCGCAGCATCTGCAGTCCACTCACAGTACGTGGGAGAAGACTGGAGCTAGGTTGCCTGTCCTGTCTCTTCAGAAGTTGTTGCGAAAACTTTGGGGGTGGGGGGGGGGGGGGGGGGAGGAGGGGTGGGTAGGGAGGAGGGAGGAAAGAGAAATGGAAACAGCATTTCTTTAAAACAATAAATAGCTGCAATGGGTAACCAGGAAGGATATAGAAGCCAGGACGCTGAACTCAATTTAACCAGCTCAGCAAGACAATAGGATGGATATTGTGGAAGGATGCAACCAAATTAAGCAAATGGGCTTCTTCCATCTGAAGCTCCTTCAAGATCCCTATCAAATCATCCAAAACCGTAGATTAATTTGCAGAATATGAAAGTCCAGAGTATGTATGTACAGTAAACCTCACGGAAGTCATATCAGTTGGGACCAAACATTTAATAAGAACTTATGCAAAGTATGAGTTATGTCAAACTTGCATAGAATATAAACTCTTGAACAAGACTTGGACAGATGTACGACTTATGCGATTATATGATTTATACAGATCAGACTTATGCGAGTATTACTGTACTAATTTCCTTTCTACTGCATTTTGCAATTTTGCTGGGAGTAAATATTGAAACAGTGGGTGGGAAAACACTTCAAACAATAAGGAGAACAAAGAGACAACAGTGACTTTTAATCAAATTCAGGCAAAGTACAAAAAACTAATTTTCAAACCAGGTTTTTGGGAACTGCAAATTATTAAAAGGTTCTAGGCCATATCTGCCAGGACGACTGCAGTTCAAATTATGGCTCAGCTCGAGCTTCATATTAACAAGCACAAAGTAGAGTAATGTACAAATGTTCAACAAGGAAGCACAAAATGTGGAACTTGCTAAACCAGGAATAATCAAATTTTAAATAGTTCCATTACAAATAATCAATAGAGAAAAGTGCAAAAGTTAATATTTCAAAGTGTATTTAATCTTTTGTGGAAATCTTTTCCAAGTATCAGTTTAAAAATAAGAAAAAAAACATTGGTGCCACATAAGGCTTTCCTCCCTTACTTGTCAGTGCCTTTATATAAAGAAAATAAATAAATCAGTTCTTTAAATGAGGGGCTTAATCTCAAGTTTTTGTAGGATTAATGAAGAAATCAATGCGTGCGTTATAAAAAATCCCAGAAAAAGGACCTGAGAATGACTGCACCTCAGAAGCGCCTTAAATTGGAGAAATAAATTGATTGAATCCAAGGAAAAATCTTTTAATCTCATGATCCAGGTTTTTGTTGCATTCTTCCAAAGTTAACTGTACCCAGAAATCTGCCTGGAAACCATCTTTTTTTGGAAGACTTCTTCATAATTTATACTTCCTCTTGAATGGCCCAATTTGTAGAGATTTTTTACACTTACAATAAAGCTGTCAAATCACAATACTTTTTTAAAAAATCCTGATGTTTACGTTATTTACAGCAGTTGCAAATTCAATTCATGAGCTACATAATTATTTTAAGTGGTGTAACACCACTATTCATTACATTGCATTTTAGTGCACTACTCTGTACTGTATTCCTTTATTAAAAACTATCAAAGGTAAAACTGGCACTTGAAACATCTTTACTGTTTAACTGATTATTGTCAGNAAAACAGCAGCAAAACTACTCTCCATGAATAGCAATAGTGGGAAAAGGCCCCTAAAATTCACAGAACCTTGGTTCACACTTTTGGATGGTCTTAAGTGACATTATTCAAAATATGGGCCTCAATCACATTAGTGGGTCCTTCCACCTGTTACTACTTACTGCTTCACTAGGTCCAACCTTGCTTCCAGTCTGTGACCGTTTGAACTTTCCTGCTAAAAACTATCTAAACTTCTTCAGTGATAAGACTCGAATGAAATTTATTGCTCAAGTTTCATCACAGTTGAATCCCTTGAACTCTCCTCCAAATATACAAAGGGAGTGTGAGCTCTCTCCCTCCATATGGAAAACAATTTGCAATTTACATGCAAAGGGAAGGAGGGGGAAGAAAGGCAGGAAGGAGATGATTAAAAGCATGGTTAAACTAGGCTTATTAGAGGATTTTGAAGCCAGAAGGGATCTTAGGAAAGAGTTCCAGAAAGATTGGGGACGGGGAGGGGGAAACGTGTGTCGGAAAGCTTGCCGTTTCCTAAATGGATATTGCGTGCAAGGTTCATGCAAAAGGCACAATGTTATGGAGCCCAGTGGATGGGGACCGAAGGCTAAAGGAGTGAGGGAGAAGGGAGACAGTGTGAGGACTACGATTTTAAAGTTGGAACTACAAGTCAATATATTGGGGAACAGAGAAAATGTGGGGCTTGAGGTGCAAACAATCTATTTGTCTACAGGCTTATTAAATTACCCTGTAAATATACATTATAGGCAAATGTACCCGAAAATCTAGAATAACTTCCAGGAATAATGACTAGTTGATGAAAATTCCTTTAGCCGCTCACAGTAGCAATCTTTACAATGTGTACCAATGAGATTCTTTTCTGCTTAAAACTGTAAGTTAAAAGGTCAGAAGTTGATAAAACTTCACAGCATTGGTAATTTATTACCCTTAATCTGTGAGGCAGACTTTCAGGTGAGATAGCAGGAGACATGGAGTTGTAGATCGTAGATTGCATTACTATTTCAGACGTGCTCCTGACATGGCGTGGGCCTCAACCTGTGAAACTAAGGTACATCGATTTCAGGTTTTGGAACAAAGATACAAATTTCAGGTCAACCTCACTAGAGTGGGTATGGGGCCTTAATCCAGTCATAGCAGCTCGTTGATATCAATGAAGCAACAGAAATTGAGATTCTCAATGCAGTATGTACAGTTACCTTATTGCAACCATCTTTATATCTCCACACAAATACCAAGGTTAATTGGGCTATTACAAAATTCACCTCCTTTACTTGCCCTGATTAGATAGTCAACCCAACTGGGGGAGGCAGTGAATAGATTAGTAGAGAAGGAATCTATCTGCTAAAATATCAAGAAAAGCTAGAGTGAAAACGAAAAGAAAAATAACTGAATGGGAAGGAAAATACGGTAAAGAGTGTGAGGAGGACGGACAAGTAGGATTTGTACTAAATTCATGTGATAACTAAATGTTCACCTTATGAAAACTTACAATTTCAATCAGGCAAGTTGTATGTTAAGGTGAAAGTGTTAAGCGAAGTCTAGCAGAGGCCCATCATACAGACTTGTACCTGTACCACTGGCTACTTGAGATTCTCGATCTATTTAAATTCTCAGTCACCTCTCTGCCCTTCTTCTCCCCGTTGATATTATGCTCTAAGTTTCTAACATTGCAAATTGTACTCATACTGCAGGCAATAGTGTCTCAGAGATCATGAAGCAAGGATGGAGAAAGGTGTTACAATCCTATCTAAGTTCTAAAAGGAATGCAGTTTCTAAGATCAGTTACACTGCTTAAGAAGAATGCAAAAAAAAAACATTTACCACGACCAAATGCAACCACAGTTGCCATTTAAAAAAAAATTGCATTGCGGTGCTGGAATACTGATGTATGCCTAGGTACTGAAGAATAAAATCTACTCTCAGGTTAGCCAGTCACAGAATCATAGAAAGTTTACAGTACGTAAGGGGGCCAGGAATCCCATTGTGTCTGTGCTGGTTCTAGCTACCTCACTGGAGTAATGCGGAAACTTTCCAAGTGACCTGATACAGCTTTGAACATTCGTGGTCACAGGTTCATCCGGTTCAGGGAAAAAAATATAGAGCAAACCATTTTGACTTCCCCAGTCAGTAGGCAAACCAAAAGCAAAATGATGACATTCAGTAATGCACAAGTTCAACCTTTATGTTTTACACTGAAATCATCAGGTATTGAACTCAAATCATGAAATCCGCTGAGATTTAATTACTTCATGAGTGGAACACCTAACTTGCATTGTTGCTTTGCACATACAGCAACTTACACCATCTTCGACAGCAAAATGTTGACAAGCAAGTGCATTTATTCCTCCCTACTCTCACAGATTGATCCCTGAATCAAATGGTGTCAATCAACATTGTGAAAAGTTGTGCATTTCATCATTTTTAAGAGAATAGTCCATTAATCTCTTTCCCACAATATAAGCTTTTTCTTTTGGAATACCAATATCTCAATGCGACGCAAAACCACAAATCCACTAACACTTGGTAGTGAACTCCTTAAAGGATATTTCCACTGATAAACTTGCAGATTACCAGAGACCACTACACAATGAATAGTAAAACAATCAAGTTTCTGATGGACAACTTAAAAATAAAATCCTGCACTCTTTAGCAGCTAAAGCGTATCCCTGCACTCAATATAAGGCATTTGAGCAGAAGGTTTGTTGCCCAAAGAAGTGAGTATTCTGTGTAAATCAAAGAAACTTGATTTTTGCATATAACCAATGCATGTTTCATTATTGCTTTTCTAACAATCCTTGCAATGTGCTGGAGTATGAACACCATTATTTTGGCTTGACAGTAGTTTATGCTTTCTTCTCCGCCTCCCCCAACTTTCATTTCTGTAGCATTTTCAGAGTGGTCACATTTCCAAATTTAGAGAGAGATCGTGGAACTTCTGACTGTGACTGTTCATTCATCATCTTTAATGTGTGATGAATTTCTGCAAAGTCAATTGGAAATTAAAGGTCCCCAATTTCTTGAACAAACGATTGGTCTGTTGTATGAACTTCAGAAGTCTTTGTAAAGATGAACAAAATGCTCAGATTTGATAAGCCCCTTTAAGAGGCATTTTAATGCAGAAGGGCTTTTGAATTTTTTTCATCAACAAATTTTCATCCTCAATGACTCCATCCTCAATATAAGTCTATTGGAAGCAAGACCTTTGCAAGTTACACTGAGGTGCATGTTCTACTGAACGCCATACAAAATGGTATTAAAATTGAACATTAAAATGCTGGGAGCCAAAGTCCAGTAGTTTTATAACTGACATGTCATCAACCCTGCAAGCCAAAGCCGTAATGGGTAGGCAGTCCTGCTGGACAAGTGCCATGAAACTCGCCAGTAGCTCTTACTGGTGAGCTGTGTGGCCACCATTAGTTTTATAGTGAATAAATACAGCCTTATAGAAATTGTTGTAGCATATACATACAAGATAGTCAATATCCTATGAATATCAGAACAGGGGGATACAGCACCTATAGGATACCCAGGAAGAAAAAGGACTTGATGGTCGTTCCCCTAATCAATTCTGAACTTTTTGTTCATCTTTCCTCACGCCAGCACAAGCATGAACCATTCAACATGCAGTGTCGTTTTGGAAGATGACCAGACATATATGACACTCCCTTATTAGTCAGTAGCAGTATTTAACTAGCTTGGATTCACTGCACCCTAGGATTATTAACAGTGCTTATGTTATAACATTACAAGCCAACTGGTGCTTTTTATTAATGCTATGGACATTATTTCTTTACTGCAAAAATAAAAAATTGTACCACACATTTGCTAGTGTTGCATGGCAAGACTGATAAGAATCCATTCACTTAGGAAGGTTACGCGTCTAAGCTTCACATCCATTTCTATAATGCATCACGGATTTAACACACTTCTTGCAACTCTTCAAGTTAGCTTCACTCTCCGAATTAAATTGCTGCTGATTTTAATTTGGTGATCGCCTCAAACACATGCATCTTTTATACTCCATCTTCCAATTGCCCTTTTCCTTTGAGCCTGTAGACCTCACATGGCACTTGATTAAGTTGGGATGAACTCTAGACATGTACATTGAATAAAATGGAAACCAAATGAACTGATGCTTCATAATGGTCATTCTCGCATGGCTTTCCTAGTCACCTGGAAAAGAAATTGGACTACAGTTAATTCAGTTTTTTGATTTAAAAAAAATGACAGTTTACTATTGAACAGGAAACTACCCTTTTTTAAAAAAAAAGTCCATTTGGACTTTGTTCACGTATTGTAGCTAAACAACTATAACATTTACCTGGCAATCAAAGAAAATGAATCCATATGAAAAGTTGACCAATCTGGTCCAATCTTCAGTCAAATTTTTTTTAAAAGAGCCTTTATAAGCTGTGTGTTATGGGAGTTTTCTTTTCAATAAAATCATGAATATGCAAAAGTCAATCTCAAATTTAAAAGGACCACCTATTTCAGCATGTTACTTTTTAAAAGTGTAATAAGGAAAACAGCACCATAACTACCTGTATCGCCAATTAAAAACAAAATAACCAAAGTGCAGTTTTTGATTCACATTTTGCACTAAAACCAGAAGTAGCTCATTTTCGCAGTCACTGTAAATCATACAAAGGAGGGGGTGGGGGAGGAAAGCCCTTAGATTCATCTTAAAATATAAATTTAATCATGGCACTTACTCTCATCGCCATCTGATTCCATAACAAAGAGTGGTCTGCAGTTTTTCAAGGAGTTGTGTCTTTCTAACGCTTCTGTGCTGTTGAAAATCATGAAACATTTGCGACATATGTGTCGTTCAGTGTTCATGTTAACTGTATTCTCTTGGGAACTGGGGGGATGACTTGAATCAGTGGATAATTTCCGACGCTTTGGCATGCTAATGTACCGTTCATCTAGGTAGCTTGGTGGCTGTGGTCTACAGTATTTTGGTTGTGCGCCTGAATCCTTCCGTTTCCTCACACCAGCATTCTGTTCTCGGTTAGTGGAGGACTGCAAAGCTGCAGGGACATTATCTTGCTGTGACGCCGTTGTGGCTTCTTCCCTTAAAGCGCCTTTTGGAACACTATTGTGCAACACTGCCGAGGTAAGCACTTCTCTCAAAACATCTGTTGAAAGACTGGGCTTATTGGAATCAGCATTGCCATCTCTTGACACATCACCTGAGTAAAATGAATCCGTATTCGAATCACATGAAGGTTCTTTCAATTCACTGTGTCCATTTACTATTTGTTCATTATTAATACCACAATTTGTGCTGTCAGATTCGACGGTGGAGCTTTTCTGATCCAATTCAATGGAAACTGGTGAAGGATCACTTAATGTGCCATTTGCACTCTGCTTGCTCACCATACTATGAAGGTACGTCTTTGGTTCTGAAAAGTCTTTTCGTGACTTCCATGACGGAACTAGCAATTCCACAGGGTTTTGTTCACTTATTAAGCGTTTATCGTCATTTGCCTTCAGTTTGGGGCTTGCTTCATTGTTTGCCTGAAAGTTTCTTTTATCACAGTCAGCGAAGCAGATAGGTTTTCGGCTGATGTAGTGCTGGGCCTCATGTTCGTAAAGCACATCAAGTTTATCAAACACTTTGTCACAGTCACGAAAGCTGCACTGTGCTTGGAAAACCTCATGACCCTTTGTGTGAGTGAGAAGTTCAGAAGCAGATTTAAACCTCTGGTTACAGCTATACTGTAAACAGAAGTACAATTTAGGGTATACATGCTTCTTTAGGTGGTCAATTAAATGCTGGGAATACATGAATTTTCTTTGGCAATAACGGCACTTGCCCTTATACCACTTCATTAGGTAATCTTGCACATTTTCATCAGCAGAGTGGACTTTCCTCGCATGCTTAGTCAGAAACTGTATCTTGGTGAAGACTTTTGAACAGCCGTGACCTGGACAAGAAAGAGAGCCTTCATTTCCTAAAACATCAGCCGCTTTTCCTTTGAAAGCAGAACTGTCTTGTTGCACCTCCTCTTGTGCGCACAAAGCTCCGTTTTGTTTATGGTCTGGTGAACTCTGCTTTACAACACGATTTCTACGTTTCTTTTTGATCAGTACAGCACCCAGATCTGAGCTAGACTTCTCATCAGGAACTGGACCAACTGCAGCGGGACCGACCGCAAGTTGATCGGCTGCAACTGGACCATCCGCTACAGGACCATCCACTACGGGCCCGGCCGCAGCGGGCCCGGCCGCAGCGGGCCCGGCCGCAGCGGGCCCGGCCGCAGCGGGCCCGGCCGCAGCGGGCCCGGCCGCAGCGGGACCGGCCGCAGCGGGACCGGCCGCAGCGGGACCGGCCGCAGCGGGACCGGCCGCAGCGGGTCCGGCCGCAGCGGGTCCGGCCGCAGCGGGTCCGGCCGCAGCGCCATTATCCGCTTGAGCATCAGCCTCTTTGCTAGAACCCTCCTGAGTTTTAGAAGGCTCACTCTGAACTCCATCTGAAGCAGGAGAGCACTGTGGTTCAGCAGGAGCATCCCCAACGCTACCCCTATCCGCTTCATCCCCTGTTAGCTTTTTGCAGTCAATCTCTTCATCTCCACTGGCAGATACAGGTAAAGCATTTTTGTTTTCATTGCCGCCATCAAGGATTCCATTGATGTGAGTGCAAGCTTCCTGTAATCCATCGGTAACATTGCACGATTCTTTTTGAGTATCCGTGTGAGCTGCAAGTTCCTGTTTTCGGACTTTCATCACGTGAGTTTTTAAATGTTTCAACATCTGCCCCTTCAATCTGAACTTCCGCGCACAGATCAGGCAAGTGAAGGCACCCCTTTGCTGATGAACTTGGGCGTGACGTACAATGTGCCCACCAAGGAATTCCTTTTTACACAACACACAGCGATGCATCGGAGTAATATGACCATCTGCCTTGGATATTCCTTGACTTGGCTGCAGTTTCTTACAGAGTTTTTCTTTAGTCCTGGATTTGGTCTTACCGTTAGCCTCCGTGCAATTCAGATCTTTCACAACCAGACCATCTTCAGAAGACTGCGGTGGGGTCAACTTGCCACTCATTAATGCAAGACAGTTTTTCTTCAGAATTCTCCAGTCCCAAAACTCAGGATCAAAATGCCAGGTAGTTTTCAGCACAAGCAGTAGTTCACAGCGAAGAAAACTTGGAACTGAATTTTCATCTTCAGTTCGCAGCTCATCTGGCTGACTATACAGGTTTTCAACTGCATTAAAAGACTCTAGTGTACGCTCAAAGAAAAAAACTGTAAGAGTGCAGGCTCTGCAGAAGTCCAAGTCATTTGGCAACAGATAAGAGAGAGTTTTACAGACTAAAGTTTTAGTATTTGGTTCATCTTGGTAGTCCATTCTTAGGGCACGTGCACACAGTTCTACACAAAATTGCAAGCCTTCAACTCCAATCTGTAAGGATAAAACAAGCAAAATATTGCATTTAACCGCAGGTTTGCAATAATCTTAAATTTAATACCAATTACATTTAAAGCCAGTTAATAGAGAAAAGGGGAAGGAGAGAGAAGCAAGAGCCCCACTAAAATGGTAGCTAATGTGCACAAAGCTCAAACGGAGTGCAATCAGCAGTCATCACTGCACGATCAGCAAACATGGACTTTCCTTACGTGGTTTTGAACTTTCAGGCAAGTTTTGCCCACAAAGTATTCAGTCAATTCACTTCACAGTATATTCTGTGAACCGCTTTGAGATGTCTCAATAATGTGATAAATCAAATACAAGGATTATTATGAAGTAAATGTCAGGGTCCACAACCCATTTGGGCAAAAAGCTAACCCGGGTTAGAATATAGAATGTTATAAGAGCATTCCTCTGTACACAGCTTACACTTTCCTGTGAGGTTATGTCACACAAATATTTGTTTCTGTCCTTTAATAAATTAGAACATCTGAATTAAGCCTTCTGGTTGGAAGCTTTAGAAGGACAGAAATCTACCCCGAAAAGCAAACTTTGTGAACTTTGGGTATTATAATATTTGATATGCCAGGATTATTATTATGAAAGCATGCCCATTCCCAAACTTGAGCAATGGGTATTAAATACAAAAATATCCATTTATAACTATTGTGCCATACCTCGTTCTGAATAACCCTGATGAAGAGGAAGATATGATTAACATTCTTGGATGTCAGCAAAAGGTGGTGGCACTTCTCCAGAAAGTGTTGCTTGGATGAATCAATTTTCAGCTGCAGCTTGCTCCAGACCAATATCAACTCCCTGAGCAAAATTAAAATGAGTCAATTTGAGCATATTAAAAACACAGCTCTGACAGAAAATCATTGGAGGATAATTATATTATATCACATGAAGTGTTGTGGCAGATAATTAATTCTCAACTTTTTGTGTCTCTAGACTGACAAACAAGCTGCCGTACAATTTACCTTCAAGTTACACCAAAAATAGGCGGTTAAGAAAAATTTTATTTGAGATAAATACCTTTACCACAATTAGATATTTTCTGAAACCATTCATTGTTATCACTTTTCTCCAAATATAGTGGAACATATTGTGCAAACCAACAGTCAAGAAACACTTTGCAAAACAGGTTACTGAGACACCTTTTGGGCACAGCTGGTGAATTATTTAACTCCTTGTAGACACTATTAGTTCACCAGCCTAGAATAAAGTTTTAACAAATTAACAGATTAACGTGCATCAGAACTGAGGTGGGAAAGAAGGGGGTGGGTAGAAAATGAGAAAAACAAGACTAACTCCTTTATAAAATGCCTACATTATTGTCAACATGTTTTCTGAATATTTTACTTGTGTGGCACACAAAATTATTACAACTTTTTAAAAATTCAAATCACTTTTTTCTCAAGCCTTTCTCTAACAAATAGCAAAAGAAAAATCTAGAAGCAAAAGCAGGTTGATTCGTTCAAAAGAAGCCTAAAGACATAGCATATCAATTGTATAACATTAATTACTTGAACACATGCACTGCTGAAATTGGGAGGAGCTGTTACTCTAGTGTTTGTTCAAGCATCAGTGTGCACGCGTTGAACAGAAAGCTCACAAAGCTTCTTCGAGCTCAAAGAGGAATTTCTCTGAATCTGCCAGGACCCTTGAGTACAAAAGCTGGTTTGGCAAGGTGTTAAAATTTAACATCCATTACATAACTTGGTGAAGAATCTAAAGAAGGTATTTTAAGTTCTCGGGTAGCATCATAAAAACGGTACTCCCACCTCAAAGATGTTGTGGGAAACAGCAAAGAACAGGTAGAGCACAACCACAGAACACAATTTTATTTTGAAAATAAGCATTCACCTGGTGCAATACACATCTCCGTTCCGTAGCTGTTGAGTAAGAAATGCGACACATAGGATCCAAGATAATTCCACCTGCTCTTCTGAATCTAATCTACAAATAACATCCAATGCTTCCTTGCAGTCAATCCGTGCAATCTGCCATGAAATAAAGGAAGAAGTCAAACCAGGTTCACCAATTCGGTCATTTCCCTGAACATTATAAATTTTTTCAACTTAAAAAAAAAAGTTAGTCAATGGAAAAGTTAATATGGGAATCCATCATCAGGGACAGAGTGACTGAACACTTGGGACAGGTATGAGCCAGTCAGAGAGTCAGCATGGGTTTGTGAAGGGTAGGTCATGTCTGACTAATCTAGTTGAATTTTTTGAGGACGTCACTAAAATGGTGGATAAGATTGTCTATGAATGTCGTTTATATGGACTTTCAGAAAGCATTTGATAAGGTTCCACACAAAAGATTTTTAGCGAAAATAGAAGCGCATGGATTCGGAGGTAACCTTGTGATGCGGCTTGATAATTGGTTGGGAGGCAGGAAACAAGAGAGTAGGTATAAAGGGAACATTCCCTGATTGGCGGGACGTGACAACTGGTGTCCACTAAGGGTCTGTACTGGGACCCCAGCTATTCGCCATATTGACTTGGATGAAGGAATAGAAAGTTTTATATCCAAGTTTGCAGACAACACTAAGCTAGGAGGCTCAGTAAATTGTGTAGATGGGAGTAGGAAGTTACAAAGGGACTTAGACAGATTAAGTGAGTGGGCAAAGCTGTGGCAGATGGAGTTCAATGTAGGGAAGTGCGAGGTCATCCAGTATGGACCGAAAAAGATGAAGATAAAGCAGAATTTTTTTAATGGGGAGAAATTAAGAACAGTGGATAAGCAAAGAGATTTGGGTGTTCATATCCACAAATCACTAAAGACTAGTTTTCAGGGCAAAAAGTAATCAAAAAGGCAAATGGAATGTTGTCCTTTATCTCAAGGGGCCTGGATTACAAAGGACAAGAAATGAAGCTTCAGCTGCATAGAGCGTCAGTCAGACCCCATCTGGAGACTGTGTTCAGTTTTGTGCACCACACTTCAGGAAAGATATATCAGCCCTGGAGGGGGTGCAGCCAGATTCACCAGAATGTTACCAGGCTTAAAAGGGTTAAGTTACGAGAAAAGGCTAAGTAAAAATGGTTTGAGTTTAGAAGGTTGAGGGGCATTTTGATTGAAGTATTTAAGATGATAAAGGGATTTGATAGGGTAGATACAGAGAAGCTATTTCCTCTGGTGGGGAATCCAAAACAAGGGGGTATCATCTTAAAATTAGAACCAGGTCATTTAAGAGTGAAATCAGGAAACATTTTTCACTCAAAGGGTGGTAGAAATCTGGAATTCTCTCCTCCACAAAGCCGTGGATGCTGAATTCATCCACAATTTCAAGAGTGAGGTTGGTAGATTTTTGGTAGGTCAGGGTATTAAGGGATATGGGGAGAAAGCGGGAAATTTGAATTGGAAGCTCAACGGGCTGAATGGCCTACTCCCGTTCCTAAGTTCCAGTGCTTCCATTCTAACCGTTTCTGCTCTCGCCCAGTCACCACTTACCTAGAATTTTGTCTTCAACTTAAAACGTAACTATATTGGCAAAAAGGTTCAACAGAACTTAGAAGTTTAGGTTTTATTTTAAGCGGTCCGAGTCACTACCCTGCATGAAGAGCTATATAAATACAAGTTGTTATTATTGGAAGCTTCGGGACCACACATGCCAATTAAACTGCAGATTTTAATGTAAATACAGCAGTATGGAATATACATGACTAATAATCGACGATCCAAGTATACATGAGCACAAAAAGAATTGCACAACAGTCCATTTGTAAAATTTCACAAGCAACATTTTATCAAAAGAATGCTTTTTAAAAAAAGTGCATTATGTCTCTGGGACGCTACCCCGCATGAAGGGTACTATAAGAATGCAAGTTGTAGTATACCTCCTGCAGTAAGACTTCTTCTGGGGACGAGCGACACAGCCAGGACAAAAACAAGTGCAGAAAATACTTGTTTTCACCAATTTGGGGATGATTCACACAGTATTTGGTCAGAGTCATTGCTTCTGTGATATGCTCATACTTCATCAAGTATTTCACTCTGTATTCAAGGAATACTGGAGATTCTGAGCTCAAGTATTCGGTCACTGTAAATGGATAAGCAGATGCACATTAAAAATACAACAGGCATTAAAGTAGTGTTCAGAATACAATTTGGATTATTTTTCATGTATAGGGAAAAAAACAATTTAATTGTTTAATGCAAGCAAGATGCATCAAAAGATCTTTAGCAATTAGAACCAGCTGATAAAAATAAAACCAATTGTGTGCAAATAAATAAGGCCCAGCTTGTTCTGCCTGTAACATTCGTCAATATTTTTGTGTGGGCGGAACTAGACTGGAGGTGAGCAATTATTTTAGAAACACAGAAATGGAAGTGGGCCACTGAGCTTGCTCCACCAGGTTGTTGGTTCACCAATATGATCGTTCAAATCCCAGTTCCCCCGTCATTTCTTCAAATCTCTGATAAGGTTATCAAGACCAATCCCTTAACATTAATTTGGGAATTAACCAAGCTCCCCTGTCTCCAACAACCTATCCCCAGGTCAGCCGAAGCAACAGCTGTGATAGCCTAGTAAAACTGACCGCAGGCTAATTGAGAAGCTGGGTTGCATTTGGGTAGGATTGTACAGATGCATAACCACAACTGTTTGCTTGTAAAATAACATGCTTTGCAGGCCAGCAGGGGGCCATCTATAGGTCCAATCAATACTTGTTAAATCTGGGAAAGTACTGGTAATAGGAAGAATGATAATACGAATATTCAGCATAACTTAGGAGCAGGAGGATTTGGCCAAATGTAATGGTGCAATGAGTCACTCTGCCAGCTAGTACTGCGCAAATGTGGAGTCCTGTAGCTCAGTGGTTAGAGCACTTGCCTTGCAAGCAAGACACCTGGGTTCAATTCCAGGCAGGGTGAAACCTTCGGCAAGTTTCCATACTCCATACGCCTAATAATAATCCCTCCAAAACAAAATAACAAATTGGCAATTTTCAATCCACGACAGTTTGTGGGACACTGCTGTGCACAATTGGCTGCTGCGTTTCACCCACAAATATACGGTCAATTCACTTTACAGTCTATTCTGTGAAGTGCTTTGAGACGTTGAGAAGTCGTGAAAAGCGCTATATTAAATGCAAGGATTATTATTATTATAATGTGAAAGATACATTACCAAAGTATTAACACTCATATTATTCAAACGTAAATACAATCTAAAAATATCACTATTAGTGTGTAAATAGGATATATAAAATGCCAATTATGCAAAACACTTAATGCATCACAATAAAACAATTGATTGGGCTATTTATTCACCATCGCTATTTTAAATTGATCTTTTTAAAAACTCCCTTTCAATGGTGATCATGTCCGAAATGTCATAATGGACCACATAGTATCGACAGTCCAATAATAATAAGTTTGATCAAAGGCTCATTTCAAAATTGAACAATGTTTGTAGCACATTAGCATGTGTAGAGGTGTCATTGGGTTTGCAGCAGTACTAGAAAAAGTTTTACATCTCTGTAGCAAATGTAAAAGAAATTTATACAGAACATGAGGGGTATGTCATTTTTAAACAAATGAAGTTTAAGGTCAGACCAGTTTAATTTATGCTGCAGTAGCAAGAGAGACAAAGACTATTGCCGTGTCCAATAGTACTTGTTGTTAAAATCAACTACATCCATTAAATTACAGTAAGGATTCAATGAGTCCGGGGGGGGTGGGGGTGCGTGAGCCAAAGTGATATACTATGGAACGACACCGCTACAACTTTAACATTCTGCCAAATGTCATCACTCAAGACAGACAATTCAGCAGTTTTCAGTAACATGAGCATGCAACAAGGCCTATATGCCATTTGTTATATTATTATTTGTTAACTATTTTTAAAAGGAGCTGTTACAGATTCAGAAGATCCTCACAACTCCAATTACGAACGCAAGAACTGTACCTGATTCCTGAGTTACTGACTTTTGATTCACAATGGATTGTAGTACTGGATTCTGCCATGGTCCCCCATTTTTACTCATCTTGATTAGCACGTCAAATTCTGCATTTATGTCACTTTGTAAGACATTGTGACATTCCTGTGTGGGTGGGGAAGGGGAGAGAGAAAGATAAGGTTGGGAGGAAGAAAAAACAACTGTTAAAGATTGGGGGGGGGGGGAAAAAGGAAATTTACCTCAATCTAAATCTTGTTGATCTATAAGATACACATTCACTGCAATAAATCCTGTGAAATACTACGAGGCATGGACAATGTGATAAGGTGCTATGTAAACTGCAAATATTATAATGACGTTAGTTTGTCAATAAACCAAATCATTCTGTAATTTGAGTACATTACACCAAACTAGTCTGCTTATTTTAACTGAGTAATGAGCAGTAGGGATGAAGCCAAAAAGAAATACCTGAATGGATTTTAAAAAGTCTTCCCAATATTCTTTAGATTGCTCATCATCCGTAAAATACAGCAACACTTCAAAGCAGCTCCTATAAACAGGGAGAAGGTACAAGTACAGAGTAGGAATACAATATTTCAGTTTGGGTTTTGAAAATATTAAAATCAGAATTTCAGCTTTATTAAACTTTTTAAATAAACTGATGGCTTTGCAAGATTATAAGGAAGATACTGTACAAGATCGATTACATCAGAAACAGTTAGCTTCCTCGTGCTGTACTGCAGAGCAGTAATGAAAACAAGAGTTGAAAGTTAACCAGAACCAGACCTCAGTGCAAAGCGAAACAAGCTACCAGCACAAGCTTCACTCAATTAATGCATATGACCTTTATTAACCTTGACCTGAACCAGATGAACTATAGCCACTATCAAACTCAATCGCTTACACAATTTCCCAATTCTGTAGGAAGGTAATCGAGCAGCTCCAAAATATACATATAGAGAGAGATTATAATGTATTATATATATGAAATGTAATATATATCTTTATCTCTTCTCTACACTCATAAAACGACAATGTCTGCCTGTGCTTCAAGAAGGATCTCAGTAACCAATTGACGTAGATACATGATTTATACCTCATCGGAAAGGTCTTGCATCTGGGAGTGACAAGGGCATATTTGTTTTCGGGTATCTCCTATCGTTTATGAGCTATGACGTAAAATGGATTTCAGTTTTGAGTTTTCGCTGCAGTTACACCTGGTGGCTGCCGAGTCAAAGTGGCACTGTGGCATCGTGTGTCACAGAACACCTTCATATGTACCCACGCACTGCAGTTACGCCAGGTGGCTACGCCAGTTGACCGAGGTGCTGTGGCACCGTGCGTCAGAGCACGCACGTAGCCAAGTGACGTGAAAACAATAAAGAACACAGATAAAGTTAAGCCGCAGCAACAACAACACAATTATATTTTTAAAGCACCTTTCACATCGGGAGGACGCCCCAGTGATTATAAATTATGTATTTATATTGACCATTATAAAGATACCTAAGCGAAAGTCAAACCTTTCAAGGATAATTAAAAATGCTGGACAAAAGAGACAAGGCCCATTAAATGAAACTGAAGAACAAAGTACAGTGCAGCCGCACTTCAATGCTGAAATGACTGCAACAGCGTGCCAAAATGAGTTTCCCACTCAAAGAACAGCACGGCCAAAATGTGTCCACCCAAAGGAGTTGTCCCAGATGACTATAAAGGTGAAATATCTGTCTGTATGTCAATCTACATCCCGTATTGGATCTTCTGGTTGCAAGCGTAGCTGCAACAGGTACAGCTAGTACATATATATATATATTATACAGCTAGTATATATATTATTATATATAATATAGTATATATAAAATATATCATTACATATATAGAGTGCTCACAGCACCAATTTTAGGCCAAAGCAGCTTTAAAGTGAAGGAGAGTTGAATTTTGTTTTATAATTGCAAATTTTAAAAATAAGATTAGTTAATGCATCAGAATTCTTTAGCAAAAGAGCTGTACTAATTTTCTCCCATAGGCACAAACTGTGTAAGGTTTGCTGCAATTGTCACCACCAAGTTCTTTTCTGAAAATATCATGAAATGTCATTATTTATTAACCTGAAGTAAAACCTTTTTCTCTTTGGAATAGTCTTTATAAATCAGACAATTTGTCACTTCAACGTATCAAAATTATCCGCATACATTTCTTCCGGGATCAATAAAAAACACGCTTTTGGGTCAAAAATTATTCACCGCACTTCATTTGACATAGTGCTTTGGTAATATTTCACTCATTGTCCCCGGTTTATTGAGCTAATTTTCCAACTCACTCCATCAACCCCCTTCCCCCCACAATCCAACTCTCTTGGTTGAGTTTAAGTTCCTCAAAGCTCTTCAACACATCATGAAATGATTCACTGTAATTCATTGCATGACTAGCTATCTAAAGCATTCCACCGCACCTCAGTCAATTCTCACTAATAGCTCACAACCCTATAATTTTAATTTGAAGAAACAAATCAAAACCCTACTGGAGAAAGTGCTATGAATTTAATCCAAAAGATAATTGGGTATGTTTCTTGGNAAAAAACTGGGGTCAGACTAAAAACGTGCCTGACGTTTGACAAAACAAATTACCTCTAACCTAAACATAAACCCTTCAAGAAAAGCTTCATCAAAAACAAAGCTAAGGGCAATGTGGGAAGCTCAAAGCAAGAACTAGAGGGGATTCCAATACTGATACTTCCTGATTAGCACCGGGGCCAAAGCTGGATTAATTCCAAAGCAAATCTAACAGGTGGAAGGGGTGGGAGGAGGGATAAATGTGAACAAAATAGCTTATACTGAAGCATTCCCTGCCATTTCGCACCAAGGAGAAGAAACAAATCAAATACCCTGCTGGAGAAACCACTATAAGTTTAATTCGTAAGAGAATTAGGTATCTTTCTTGGGAAAAAAAATGAGGTGGGACTAAGAATGAAGAGAGCGGATTTTGGAGCATATTGGTTAGTAAAGCTTCCTGTTTCTACTAGTTCTCTTTTACATAAGCTTCTCTTTCAAAAGGTTCTTCTTGTCCATCTAAAATACTACACAAAAGATGCGTGCTGAGGAACCGCAGTTCATTTGACATAGTGTTTTGGTAATCTTATTAATGGATTACCAGCCCTATGGCAAGCGAAAGGTCAATTGAGTGCTTCATGTGTGGCCCTCCAGAAGCATTTACTGAAGCAAAGGGAACCAAAGAGATATTTACAAAACAATGTTTTAATACTTTTATTTTGCAACACTCTTACGTACCTGGATAATAAAGAGTTTAGATGCTTCATTGTAGCAGAAATACTTAACATAGAATATCAGTAAACAGTTTTGTGGATCCCAATTAAAGTACACTCACAGGTAATTAGGGGAGTTATAATGCAACATAAATTTACATAGTGCCTTTCATGTCAGGAGGCCAAGGCACTTGACATTTCTGACTTGGTACCTGAACTGGGGGTGGGAGCCGATGGTGCCGGGGAGTGTATAAAAATGACTGAAGGCACGGTCAAAGAGGAAGGTCTCGAAATGGACCTTGAAAGGGATGAATGAGGGAGTTGGAGGCGCTCCAGGATGGAGTTCCAGAGGGTGCCCACCGATGGTGGGGCAAGGTAGGGCAGGGAACATGAAGCAGGCCGATGCCCGCTGAGTGAAGTGAGTGTCTGGATTGGTGTGGTTTGGTGGTGGAAGGATTTGAAAATATAAGTGTGATCGTGAACACAATCCGTTAGGATATCAGACGCCAATTGAGCCTGGCGAGGTACGGGTGATAGGCTTGCGGAGCCTAGTGCGGGAAAGGACACGGTACGGAATTCTGGATAGTCTGCAGCTTGTGTAGAGAAGAGATGGGTAGTCTGGTGAACAGAGTGCTGGCATAGTCGAGCCTGAATGGAGTAAATGCATGGATTAAGATCGTGGCAGCCCAAGGGGAGAGGTAGTGGCAGAGATGGGCAATATTATGGAAGTGAGGAAATGCTGAGCATAGATGTGAGCTTTTAAGGACAGTTGGGAGTTGAAGAAGATACCGAGATTCCGCATTTGCTCCCCAAAGTGAAGTGTGTAATCATTAACATGAATTGTACGCCTATGATACACAACATAAAAGAACAATAACTTGCATAGCACCCTTCACACAGGGTAATGTCTCGGGAGCACTGTACAATGATGGGTTGGACGCTGAGTAAGGGACAAGGAGGAGGACTGGAGCTCAACACCGGATTTACCTTTGAGCAGTTGATCATAGATTTAACTGACAACCATTTTAAGTTATGCAATTTCAAAGACAACACCCGTGTGAAGGGCTCTATATAAATGCAGGTGTCTTTTTGTTGCAGTGTCTCAAATTACTTGTGAAGTAATGATTTGCTAAAATGTAATATTTGGAATAAAAAAACTCCACTAAACTACATCAGCCTAACCAGTCCAAACTTTATAGAGGATGAACAACACTAAGCCATGGCATATGGAAAATAATCAATACTTTGAACTATACAAAACACATAGCTACACAAATGCAAGCAAGGGCCTTCATAATTAAGGGTCTTATTTTCTATGCAATAACCTTTTTCTAAAAAAAACATTTTTGATGGAGGGGTGAAGGAAGGTAAAAGGGTGACCCTTTAGTGTGTCCCACTTCAATAGTTGAATCATGCAATTTCCAGCAGCTGCTCTACTCTGCTGTGAAAACTGGTTGTCTAAATTAAGGCCTGTATAGTACTGTTCTATTTTATTAATACTTATTCAGTGTTGAGTTAGAATCAGGACCTCAAAATAAACCCCAGATGTATTGATTTGAAATGATGGTGGGTAATACATTTTATCAATCAGCTTAATCATGATAGATTTGGACCTCAACTTTTTTTAAAAAAAATTGGGCCGCGGTATCTCAAGCTTTTCAGCTATTTAAAATGTATTCTAAGCGTTCATAGAATATTACACCACAGAATGAGGCCATTTGGCCCATCATGCCAGCTCTTTGGAAGAGCTACACAATCAGTTCCACTCCCCCGCTCCTTCCATAGAATCATAGAACACAGAATTAAAATGTTAGTCATTTTCTATATTTTTAGCGATCCAGTCTATGCCAGCGCTTCCACATGGTAGTGTCACCAATCACAAGACGGGTGATGTCACTGCAGACATGTGCAGGAAGGAGCCAGTTCTGTCGGTGACCATTGCTCTTGAAAATTGGGTTGTCGTACTTCAAATCTTGCGTTATTAAGCTTGACAATGCAATTTCGATTCCAACTTGAAGTGCAGTGACAGAATTCAGTCGGGATTTTCTGTTTTATGCGGTCGGGGGCTACAATCCAATCTGTGTTGTGATTGAATTATAAATGAATCCATGTTATAATGAGGAAGATTATGACTATATTTAACTGCAATGATATACACTGCATAACTTGTGATTTTGTGTGTAAGCCTGGCTCAATGGTAGCACTCTCGCTTCCAAGTCAGAAGGTTGTCGGTTCAAGCCCCATGTCAGGACTTGGGACTCAGATAGTCTAAGATGACAGTTCAATGCAGTGCTATGGATGTGTGTTGCATTGTCGAGTTGCTGTCCTTCAGATGAGGCGTTAATCTCAGGTCCATCTGTCTGTTCAAGCGGACGTTAAAGATCCCATGGCACTATTCGAAAAGAGAAGGGAATTTCTCTCGTGTCCTGGCCAACAATCCCTCAAATAAAATTGGTCATTCACTTCATGGCTATTCGTTCATTGGTTGCTATGTTTGTATACACATAAACAGTCACTCCACTTCACAATTAAATCCTGTGAAGTGATTTGAGACGTCCCCCTGACATGAAAGGGCCTATACCAAATGTAAGGATTATCATTATTTTGTGGAAGGTATTTATCAACCTAGTTTATATTTATATGTGGTTTATCGTCCACATATACCCATACAGATCTTTTCTATAAAAGCATTTTTTCCTCTTTTGATCCACTCATCGTTCTGAGTTATATATTCCTCTCCTTTTACGCTTACTCTATCCTGCAGTCTGTTGTCATGGCAAAGCGTGCATTAATTCCCTCCATCCCCATTAATGGAGAAATATTTTGCCACTTCTCTTGCACTGTGTGAGCAACAGCTCAACCCTTTGGAGTAATAAGATAATAACCAAGAGATTTTAAAATGTTTCCTCAAATTGAGAATCATATCAATTTCCAGCAGGATAAAAACATTTTTACATCAAATTACCAGGAGCTCTTAGCAGCCCAGAATTCAAGCTCTCCTATATGAACTAATATATGTACTAATCATTCCAGTATTGTTGATGCTTATACCTTTTCAAGTTTATAAAGGGACAACTTACTGGAATAAGTAAAAGTTTAAGCTTGCAGAATTTATTTCACTGTTCAAATGCAATTAAATCTATTAATATACAATTCCATTTGGATCACACAACAGTGTTCTCTCTCCCTAACGTTCTCCCACATCCAAACATCAGTGACAACACTATCTGTGTCTGCCCTATGTTCAAATAAACAAAGGTAACAACTACACAAAATTTACAATGAATGGCCTAAAACCTCTAATCTTACACGCAGCAGATAATACTGTACATCGGAAAATTACACAATGAGCTTTCAAAATATTGGTTAAAGAAATTAGCCAAAACGCTACACAATCATTATGGCAGTCCACTTGGTTAATTTCACATGTGAGACCATAAACAAACAAGTATAACAGACTTACAAATCCACTGATGTTTAGAAGTTTGTGTTTAATTCTTTCACCCACCACCCCCCACACAGGTGACCAGCCACAAGCTACAACAGGATATGGTTAGCAAGAAGTCAAACCACTAGGACTCTTTCAACTCCCCCCATTGGCAGGGCCGCACTTTTTCAGCGAATCAACCACAAGTACCCACTCTGTTATAAACCTGTACACACAGTGTGTTAGGCCCCGGGCCTTTGGCACTGTTTGCTCGATGCTGTTACTGTGGGTGGAGCGGTTCGGTTGTGCATCCGCAATACGCAAGCGTGAAATCGGCTTTGCCCAGAGCCCAGCCTAAACTGCGACAAATTCTTGGTAAGAATTGTACTATTCAAATTAACACTTTGTGCTTTAAACATAACTGCATGTTCAGGAGAGGCATGCCTATAGTTTTAATCCGGATTGTTTCACAAAATGCGTCTCTCGATAGCACCAGTCAACCCTATGCAATCGCCCGCAAAATTGACCAATATTTCCGCAATTTTGTCAAAGGTTCTGTCATTTTTGGCAAATATTTCCACACTTTTCTATTGGCCCAGCCCATCACAAGTTGCATCCCTGGAGTATATGTGCATTCTATTTTTACTTCCTATAAAGAGTACTTTACATTTGTCTGCAGTTAACTTAATTTTCTAGTGCTCAACTGAGGCCGAGCACACTTTGTAAAATCTTGTCTGTCTCCTCTAATTGCATAATCTCCCCTTGTTATCTGTAAACTTAACTACCTTGCACTCAAGTCTGAGAATACAGGTCATTTACGTATGATAAATACATAAAGATCTCAGAACAAACGCCTGAGACAAATATATTGAACCTTCCAAATAACTTTTGATTTGCCTCACAATAATAAATATTTATCTCATGGCTGTTTGTGGGACTTTGGTTGCCCAAATATTTACCTTATAGCTTTCAAACAACAGTCACTACACTTGGCAGTAATTACCTGTGAATTGCCAACATAAGCAACTATACACATGCAAGTTCAAGGGCTCCGACACGTTACTCTGTCTATATAAATGCAAGGCGTTGTTGCTGCAAGTTATCGGTCATGGTATCAGCCTGTGTTGGTAATGGTAACACTCTCACCTCTGGGTCAGAAGGTTGTGGGTTCAAGCCCCAAAATGGAAACTATTCTAGTGCTGACTATTCCAGTGCAGTGCTGTGGGAACACTGACAGAGTGGTCAAATGTAAGAGGCGTCCTCTATCCAATGAGACATTAAACAGAAACCCAGTCTACTGGTTCAGGTGGATCTTAAAGATCCCTTGGCACTATTCAAAAAAGGACATCAAACCCCTTAGAGGAAATATTAATCATTCATTTCATGGCTGTTCGTGGGACATTGCTGTGCTCCAATTGGCTGTTGCATTCACCTACAAAATACAGACATTACACTCTACAGAAAACACAGAAGTGCTTTGAGATATTTTGACGAGATAGTGCTATATCAAACACAGGGTTAACAGACTGATATTTCAATTAAGTTAGCTAACCACAATTTTACTGTAGATCAACTAACGTTTCTGATGCCTTATTGGAGGCTGAATAACAATACCAAAAAAAAGTACTTACAAAGCCAGCCGGCTCAAGACATATTGTATATGTTCACATTCCGCAGCGAGAAGGGGTCTTGCTTTGGTAAAACTGCAAATAGCATTTTTAAGCACCTGAAGTAGTGGCAAAGGGACCTGCCAAGTCCCAGCATACCATTCAGTCACCTGTTTGGAAAAAGAAAAATGAATTATGAATGAAGCTATTCCATTACTTGCTGCGGTTTCAAATCTTTGAACATTCCTCTCTCAAGAGCAAAACTTCACTTGTCATTTATTCAATCAAGACATTGGGTTATCATTAGTTTCAATCTCGTTGTCTTGGCACACCTGAAAAAACTAAGTAATATTGGCAAGTAATATTTTTCTCAACTTTGTTCCCCTTCTTGAAGGGTGGCAAGTCATGGCAAGATACTGCTCCGTGTGCACAAGCAGCTCCTTTGGACAAAGTATCTGAATGTTATTGATCGCACGTGAGCCCAGACTGTAACTGGATATTCAGCTGTGCCAGAAATGAGAATGCAAACAAACAAAAAGAATTGAATTGTACATGAACTGAACTGCTAATATAATTACATTTGCTAGCAACACAATTAGGAAATCCATGAAGTTGTTAAAAAGTATTCCCTTCGAAAGTTCTATGGGGTACTTTGCAAAGGTCTTTATGTTTGGTAGACTGAAAAAAGTCTACGCCAGTCGAGAAACAAATTATTTGGACGTGACTGCTATATCAGACAAATGGTTATGCATAATCACCAACACCATCAATTTGCGATTNAAAAAAGGGCAATTCCGAAAAAAATTACCATCCAATTTTAGAAGATTTTCATCTCTACATTTGGTGTTCCAGATCTTGATTCGAGTTTAATCGAAACCCTAACAGTAACTCCATAAAACAGTGGCTTGGGCACTGTGATGAACACCTTCAGGCAAAATGACTGCATAAAACTGTGAATTTCCATTCAAAAACAGACAGATGTCCTGTTGCCAGAAAGAGGAGTGTTTGCTTCCAATTGCCCTTAACATTTTACCAGAAGAGAATCTTCACAATATGCTTCGACTACAGAACTAAAAGTTATGAAACTCAAACAGAAATTAAAATACAGATATTAATGCAGAGTTACTAAGGATTCTGAACCTTGAACTTTTGAAACCTAGATCACTGATTACATACAAATTACAAGGATGCCCTCTTCCATGACAGTTTTAATTGTGCAAGCATATGACTAGATCACCGCACTGGCCCAAGGTAGATTAGAAACAATCAGCAATAGTACACAAGTTATAACACTGAATCAACCCTATCATGTTGTTGTATCGTATTTTCTTTAAAAATATATAGAAAACTATCTTCCTAAAAAAGAAAGATGAAAGAAAACAGATTCCTGCAATGGAGAACAGGTCAAAAACAAAACTTGTTGGGACAGTGCTGGCAGCAAGCTCACACCCTGCAATGCAACTCCACAACAGGAATCATGCCGACAGTGTACCCAGATTCCGCTTCCTCTTAAAGGAGTACCACAGTACAACTTCTTTTGTGAATCGGCAAAGCATACCTTCATCACTCCACCTGGGGAAATCCTTTTATAGCTTTCAAAAAAAAAAACGCGTGCTCTGCTTTACAATATGGAATGGCGCCTAACCCAATCTATGCCCCACCCTCCACATTACGAGGGTCTCAAGGTATGAGATAATTAAGTCTGAAAAATAGGCCTTCAGATGCAATTGGACTGTTATTTGCTTCCTGGATTACAATACAAGTGATACGTATAGCAACTCTGCTTATCTAAACGCGTGTTTTACAGAATCTTACAACACAGAAAGCCTGTGACTTTAAAAGAGTTTTGTGTTTAGTCACTTGCCCTTTTTTTAAGAAATCTCTATCCTTTAGCTTTTAAAGCTATGATGGATTCTGCTTGAACTACTGTTTTTGGTGCTGAAATAACGCACAGACCAGTGAATTAGTTTCTCTCCATTTACTTTAGCAAAACCTCTCAACATAAACCACTTCCATCAGATCTGCTCTCAACCTTCTGCATTTTAGTTTGCAGCCTGATTGTGCAGAACTGGTTTAGGAGTGTCCTAGTTGGTGCTAGAACCACAATCTAGATGTGAATAGATTATGATTCTTGTAACAACTAACACATGTTCTATGCAATCAGGGTCCAAACTGAAATAAATCTTTAATACACAAAGTTTCTTCAGTTTTTAAAAAAATAATGAACCATTTTATTGATTCTCAAAAAAAAACAAGATAGAAGTGACCTAATATTTTCCGATCATTTGTCTCACTTAAACAATAGCTTTGACAAGAATAATAAAATGTTAGTTTTAATATTATGACTTATTACTGTATTAATTTTCTAAAGAGGGATTACTGAGAAATAAAGTGTGTTGTTGAGAACTGTTGTGAAGTTCCCTAAGTTTCTTTTAATATAAAAACTTTTTTCTCAAATCAGCACAAATTTAACCAATATACTTTTTAAATGAAGGACACTCAATCAAAGGGTGACACACACCAGACTTTGAAACATGTAGGCTTCAATGTGCACCACTATTCAAGGATAGACAATTGTCATCTGCATTATTCAATTGGATATTAGACTATAAAACAGAATTATTACTTACGAGCTGCGGTGGCCAATCCTTGGCCCGGTAACATTGATTTATGGCATAATTCAAGAAATATTGAATCAAGACATTTATTTTGTTGGCTGATTAGGGTTAGGTTGGCCACTACTGACCGAGACAGACACAGCTATCAATTGGCAAACGAAGAGAGCATATTGGTCAGCGCACTCATGATTCAAAGCCTGGGGGGGGGTCAGAATATTTTCATACAGAGAGTGAAATTAACCTTACTACACTACATTTGCAGGCTCAATGAATTATTATGGTCTCCAAAAGTTCAGAAGTAATGGGAGCAAAAAATGTCCTTGGCATTTAGACATTTATCAAACTCTGTCAATAGATTATTTTATTCATAAGAAATCGGTTTATGCACCTGACACCAACACTGCTCAACTTCTGTTATCCAGGTAATCATGTCATGGGGTACTTAAGCAAATAGCCAAAACTGGGCTGAAAAACTAGTTTAGTATTTTCTTATCCTTAATAATAATAATAATAATCCTTGCATTTGATATAGCGCTTTTCACGTCGGGAGGACGTCCCAAAGCGCTTCACAGAACACACTGTAAAGTGAATTGACTGTATATTTGTGGGCGAACGCGGCAGCCAATTGCGCACAGCAATGTCCCACAAACAGTCGTGGATTGAAAATGACCAATTTTTTATTATTGTTTTGGTTTTGGAGGGATTATTATTAGGCGTGTGGAGTAAGGAAACTTGCCCAAGGTTTCGCCCTGCCTGGAATTGAACTCAGGTCTCTAGCTTGCAAAGCGAGTGCTCAACCACTGAGCTACAGGACTCCACGCATCCTTGAAGACAACAGTAATTTACAACACATTAGAGATTACACTGGGACATTCCCTGAAGTCCAAGAACTCTACTGAAAATATTGGTCATTTTTTTCCATTCATTCAACTCCAACCAATGAGTCTGGTTACCAGAGCTTTAATAAACTAGTAGAAAAGTGGTAGAAAAGCTATTTACCATCATCCAGTATGATAAAACAATAAAGTACTAACTTCCAACAATCTAATCAACACAATACATCCCAACCCAATCTTTCTTAAGTTTCTCTTCCAGTCATGATCTGACATCATGAACTGACAAGATAGTAATACCAAACATGTTGAAACTCATTAGCCTAAAACACTTTTTGCACCTGTTATTTTCCATGAAAGAAAAGTTTCACAGATTAGCAGCATTTTTCTGCACATCAAGAAATGATACACTTGAGAAACATAAAATAATAACTCACTACCTACAAATGTAATACATTCAGATATTATAACTTATATAGTACCTTATCATTGTTGAGACGTCACAAAGTGCTTCACAGAATATACTGTGAAATTAATTGACTATATATTTTGTGGGCGAAATGCAGCAGCCAATTGCGCGCAGCAATGTCCCACAAAACAGTTGTGGACTGAATAACCAAATCATTATTATTATTTTTGGTTCCGTTGAAAGGGATTATTACTACTGGAAAACAATCCGCCAATCAACTAACAACTGGGTTCCTACTTATTGCTAGGTAAACAGAGGCATGCCGAGTGATGAAATTTGCCTAACGTTTCGGACTGCCCGGGAATCGAACTCAGGTCCTCTCGCTTGAGGCGAGCGCTCAAACCACTAAGATACAGGACCCCACATTGCAGTAAATACCAGAGAACAAACCAGAAATCATAGCATAGGCGGTCATTCAACCAATCCAGCCTGTGTAACTGCCCCAAAACTTGACTGAAACCTAGTTTTAGGTTCCAGGTGGCTTACGTTGTCAACATCTTAATTAGGTTACAGTGTTGCATCATTCCTAGATATTGATTCCATCATCCAGAAATCTGCAGCCCAAATACTCTGTTATAAAAGCAAATCACCCTCTCACCCAGCTTCCCATCCTCCAGCAGATCAGCAGAAGATTAAGATCTTCAAATGCCTTCATGGTTTCACCCCACCCGACCTCAGTGATCTTCTGTGTCCTCGCTCCCTTGTGCTCCATCAACTTTGGCTTGTGTCATGCCTGGTCTACCCCATCATCAGTGGGTTGTTTTTTTTTCAGACACTTGTGACCCTGCCCTCTGGAACACTCTTCCCACATCCCTCCACCTCACCCCCTTCCTTAGCAGCTTTCAAAACCCATCTTTTTTTTAAAAAAAAAACTATTTTGACAGAACACTTGGTCACCTACCTCTCCCCTTTTAGATGAGTGCAAATTGTTGTTGTACAACAGCATAACCGTATTTTATGGCTAGGACAAAACCTGAAAATACATCACATGATGCCATAAAGCACCCAGTCCACCCTTCATCGTATCTTTATTGCTTTTCTACCAATATCATTCGGAACCGTGCTGAGAGGAGAACTGGATGCCTTACCAAAGTACAACACGCACGAACATTGGAAACGAAATTCACACGTCCACTCTGCCACTCCGCTCAAAACATACATACTCGGCTCTCAACGGCCAAACCTTCTGGGAATTACCAACATCTACAGACACCCAAGCAAGTCGGATTCGGCCTAATCGTGATACCGACTGGTGGTGGGGTGGTGTGTGGGGGGGGGGGGGGGGGGGGGTGGGGGGGGCAGACGACATGCACTCAGAATGAAAAACACTGCGATTAACAAGGCAATTAATCGCCCTTCATTAGGAGCAGTGTGAACGCAGACAGCACCGATCACATCTGATCGTTCACGAAACTTTATTTTTACGATCAACTCCCCCCCAAAAAAAACCTTTCCAAAGAGAGAAAGAGAAAATGATATATATATAACCGTCCTTTTTAAACACACACACACACACAGAGTGAGGAAGATGTGAAGACATATATATATATATATATATATATAGTGTGTGTGTGTATATATAACAACTTTTTTTTAAAAAAAGAATATTTTCAGAGGAGGCCGTACACTTGCTAAAAGTGTTATTTTTTTTGGGGGGGGGGGGAGAAAACAGAAGCAAATGTTATCTATTGCTCTCCCCCGTCTCTCTCTCTCTCTCTTTCTCTCTTCTCTCTGCCTGTCTATAGACGACAGCCATTTGCAAATAAGCAAAAAAAAAGTTTCCAAAGCACAACCCCCCACAACCCTCAACCCCAACCCTCTCACCCCTCGAAATAAACAACATGACAGAACACTCACAACCCTTTGAAATAGCTTCTTGCCCACCCACCCCCACCTGCACCCCCAAAACCCCAACCCACCCCCCCAAAAAAAATAATAACATGAAGTTAGAAAGCAAACAGCCAGTGTGTGAGTGAGTGAGTGAGTGAGTGTGTGTGTGGCAAGTGGCTGATGTGTGCCACAATAACTTTTGACTCTGGGTGCAACGGGAAGAGAGAGACAGAGGAAGAGAGAGAGAGGAGAGAGGAGGAGAGAGGGGAGAGAGAGGAGAGGGGAGGAGGAAGGGGGAGGGTGGGGGTGTTGTCAAGAAGCCCTCACTCTCAACATTACTCTCTCTGTCTCTCATCCTCTGCTCCTCCTCAACAACAACAAAAAACCAACCCCCCCTCCCCACCACCACCACCATCATCATCCACCCCCTCCTCCTCCTCCTCCTCCACCACCACCACTCCTCCTCCTCCTCCTCTCTCCCCTCCCTCCTCGGACACTCACCCGGCAAAACCTCAAGCAGTACTCGTTGGACACGGCGAGCAGGCCCGGGGAGGCCCGCAGCTCGGTCTCTATCCACTCCAGCTCCCCGCTCAGACCCGCCGCCTCAAACTCCTTCGCCCCTTCCGCCATGCTTCTCGCCCCTACCTGCGCGTAGCCCCGCGCGCCCTGCGCGATTGCGCGCGCACGCACGCTCGCTCGCTCGCTCTTTCCGTCGAACGGCGGTTGGGGCGACCGGGGGAGTGGGTGGGGGGGGGGGGGGGGCGGGGGGGGGGGGCGGGGTAACTCCGAACAGTCACCCGTCCGTCCGCACGCGTCACAAAGGGAGCGGCTCCACCCCCTCCTCCTCCTCCCACCCCCTCCCCCCGCACACTCCTCTCACCCCTCTACGTCCCGCCCCGCCCGCCCCCCTGTCATCCCGCCCACCCTCGGGCAACTCGATTGGCCGGCGGGGCGGGCCGGGGCGGGGAAGGCCGTTTGAGTGACGGCCGCCTGGCCCAATCATCAAGGCTGCGTGCTGACAAGAGCGCGGGGGGGGGGGTGCTCTCGAGGGAGGGGGGCGGGGCCGGAAGGAGTCAGCGCTGGTGGTGGTGGTGGTGGTGGTTGCATTGTGGGCATTGGAGTCTTTCCATAGCACTGTACAGCACGGAAGGAGGCCATTCGGCCCATCGTGTCTGCGGAATGCGCGCTCTCGCCCCCGGAGGGACGCGTCCTGTTCGCCTAATTCCGGAAAGTATCAGCCGCAGGTTGGCAGGAGCCCAAGGCTTGAGGAGCCCAGGGCGGGCATTGCTGGAGTCTTGGCGACGACGACGACAAGATCGCATTTGTGCAGCGCCTTTCACGTCGGGAGGACGTCCCGAGGCGCTGGACAGAGTACAGCATTTCGGACCCGAGCCGGGGTCGGGGAGGGAGAGGGGAGGGGAAGAGGGATGACCGATGGCGTGGTCGAAGAGAAGGGTCTTGAGGCGGGACTTGAAGGAGGCCAAGGAGGGGGCGAGGAGGAGTGATTGGGGGATGGAGTTCCAGAGGTTGGGGGCAGAGTGGCTGAAGGCTCTCCCGCCAGTGGTGGGTTGGGGGACGTGGAGCAGGACAGAGCCGGCTGAGCGGAGGGAGCGGGCGGGTTGGTAGGGGGTCAGGAGATCGCAGAGGTAGGGTGGGGCGAGGCCATGGAGGGCTTTGTATGTGAGGATCAGATCTTGAACTGGATCCTCCGAAGGATAGGGAGCCAATGGAGAATGGGGGAGATGGGGTCACGAAGTTTGGTGCAGAAGAGGACACGGGCTGCAGAGTTCTGGATTATCTTCAGCTGTGGAGGGAGGAGTTGGGAAGGCCGACAAATGTTTACATAATCGAGCCTGGAGGTGATGAAGGCATGAACAAGTGTTTCAGCGGCCTGAGGGGTGAGGTAGTGACGGAGTCAGGCGATGTTACGGAGGTGAGGAAAGGCAGAGCGGGTCATGGTTTGGATGTGGGGGAGAAAAGACAGTTGAGGGTCGAACAAGACACCGAGGTTCCTGACTGGCGGTGAGTTGTAGAGTGCAACCCCATGGAGGTTGATGTTGTCAGAGCCGGAGGTGATGAGGTGCTGGTGTGAGCCAATCAGGAGGGCCTCAGTCTTGTTCACATTCAACTGTAGGAAATTTGCCCTCATCCAGGACTTGATGTCTGACGGGCAGTCTGTCAGGACAGTAGTGGTCCTGGAGTTGAGGGTGGAGGCAGAAAGATAGAGTTGGGTGTCATCCGCATACATATGGAAGTTGACCCCATGTTTGCGGATGGTGTCACCAAGGGGGAGCATGTAGATATTAAAGAGGAGAGGGCCAAGGACAGAGCCCTGGGGGACGCCAGACGTGACAGTGCGGTGGCTGGAGGAGAAACCGTTAGAGGCAACAAAGTGGAGACGGTGAGAGAGAGAGGAATTGAACCAGGCAAGGGCAGATCCGTGAAGATTAAGTAAAGAGGAGAGGCATTGTATGAGGATGGAGTGGTCGACAGTGTCGAAGGCGGCAGAGAGGTCGAGGAGGACAAGGAGTCAGAGGGAGCCCTGATCACAGATGTTCAGAATGTCATTAGTGACTTTGACCACGGCTGTTTCCATGCTATGGGCAGCGCGGAGGCCGGATTGGAGGGGTTCAAAGAGGGAATGATGAGAAAGAAAGGAGCGGGGCTGGGACGCGACGACTGATCAGCTAAAACTGCATAGCTTGCCAATCATATTGCAAGCTTTCCCGCTGCTTATCCAGCTCGGACCACACTACTTGTTCGGGCTTTGCCTTGCCGGGTTAACGGGCTGAGTGGGATGACTTCCTGCCCCCAGTGACTGGTCTGCCCTTCCAAGTCCTGCCGATGAGCCAGACTGGCTGTGCTGTCATTATACTGCAGACCCACCTGGCTCAGGAACCGACTACTGACACCACAACAGAGGGCTGTCTCGATTCCGACATTCCATTGGCAGACATGCCACCTTGGAGCCAGTTCAGCTTTATTGGTTGGATGTATGGCATTTTAGCAAGCAAGAGGACCTAGGTTCGATTCCCAAGCAGTGCAAAACCTTAGGCAAGTTTCCTTACTCCACACACCTTAGCTTGCAATAAGTAGCAACCCGGTTGTTTGTCGATGTGAGTTGCTTTCCGAGGGTAATAATCCCTTCTCCAAAAAATGCGTTCACTCAATCCACAACTGTTTGCGGGACATTACTGTGATCAATTGGCTGCCGCGTTTCATCAAAATACACAGTCACTCCACTTTACAATATACCCGTATTCTGTTTAGTGCTTTGAGACGTCTCAACGACGTGATAAGGCGCTATCTCAAATGCAAGGATTATTGCTATATTTAGGCACAGACTCACAAATAATGAAAGCTCACTATGTAGTCCCAATGACTAACTAGTACAGAAGTCAGAAGTCTGGGTTCAATAAACAGGTAAGTGGCCACTACTATACAAGGTTGAGCATGCCACACACTAAATAAAATAGGGTCACTATGGGAATTGTAGTCCCTATTGAATGGAGTTACTTCTGTAGGGGTTTTATGGGAAGTGTAGTCAACAACAACAACAACTTGGATTTATATAGCGCCCTCCACGCCGGACAGCATCTCAGAGCGCATCACAGTAACGGATCCCGGGGCAGAGCCAGGGTTCTTGTCTCTCTTATTGTGCAATGATACTCAAAGCTGAAAACTCTGCTGCCAGAATCCTCACCCGTATACCAAACTCCACACCCCCATTAACCCAAGCTTTGCCAGGCTCCACTGGCTCCCTCATGGCAGAACTGATCGATTTCAACATCCTCACACTCACCTACAAATCACTTCATGTCCAAGAACCTCTCTATTTCTCAAACCTGCTCACACCATATCCTTCCCCAACCACTCACCCCATTTGCTCAGCCAGCTCCCCCCCCCCCATCCGCATGCCTTTTGTCCCCTTCGCTAGCACCATTGGAACTATGCCTGAATACTCTGAATCTTCTGGGCCTCTATTCCCTTTCGGGAGCTTTAGCTGGCTAAACTCCCGACAGTACCCCAATGCACACACTGGAGTCCCCCATATTGCCTCTAGAAAGCCTGTGCCTAAAACCCTCTGGGATTAAATAGGAAGGATGCGTCCCTCTCGGGAGGAGTGAGTGTTTCATTCCAATATATGCACATTTTAATTTACAAATGGGATGCATGGAACTCTCACTCTGGTTTGGATACTCTTTGATACTCTGGTTATGGGTTTCATATGTGTCAGACACCCGGCTGAGCAAAAAATTACTAAGCAAAAAAATGCATTGCACGTGAGTTGAGTCGTCTGATTACAACGTAAGAATGAAGAGAGATCACTCGATAAATGTTATAATAACACTCAGGTTGAAATTCTACTTTAATGAAATTATTGTCCTGGTAAGATCACAAACACTACTGACAGCAAACCAGCCAGTCTGGCTTGGTCAGTAGGACTTCAAGAAAAGTCACTCACTGGGAGGAGGGAATCTTCCCACTTGGTTCCCATTAACCCTGCAAGCTGAAACCCTAACATATCAGGAGGGTCCTAGCTGGACAAGAAGTGGGAACCTTGCCAGCCAGTGTTCTCAATGACAAGCTATGTGTTTTTAGCATTACCCCAATATACACTCTGCAGACCCTAAGCCTTGGATCTTGCCAACATGGTCAGCAAGTTGCATACCTCCTGTGAGAAAGTACCACAGAGAAATTTCCATGTGTAAGTGGAATGCATATGTGGAATTCTCAGTCTGGTTTAATTACTCCTAAGCATGGCAGGGTGTTTCGGCATGTGGTCAAGACTGACCAAAAGAGAAGTAAATCTTATTTTCTGAACTAGACATAAATAAATTTTTGCGACTGGCACCATTTAAAAAAAAAGTGCGGTAATATTTCCCTTCCAGGCAAGGATCACTGCAGTGCTACGAAAAAGTGAAGAGCAAGAAAAGACCATTTTATCAAACCTGCTCCTTAACACAGTCTGAACAATGCAGCCAATTAAATAATCAACCAGATTTATTTCATCTTTTGAGTAAAATGAATAACCCACATGTAACATGTCTAAGATGATCAAACTCTGAATAATTTCTTGAGCACGGAAGGTAATCAAGCGAAAATTGTGGTTACCAATATGACATTACAATCTGTATTATTCAATATATTATGGTTCTGTTTATCAATAGAGAGTACTGTTTATTGGAATAAGGACTACTGGACAGGCGGAGAATAATTCATTTCCCATGTATAACTAAGGCCAAAGAATGCTTGCAAAAATATGAGAATTGTAATTAAATGGACATCTATTTCAATGTCTTGTTCATGGCATTCTACATTTATTTTTATCTGACATATACTTATTACATCTACTTATTTTAGACTGCACGTAGTCAGATTCTTTCATTTTGACTGCTTCCTCCAAGTGCTAATTCTTGCTTACTGAACTTTTTGGCATATGCAAGTTGTTGAGATGAATTTTCTTAAACTCAGGATTCTCTATTTATCTTCTCTAATTTCTTTCTCAATCTCTCTCTTTACCTATGGCAAGATCTGCCTTTCTCGATCACTTCCCATTTTCCCTGTGAAAGTGTCAGAAATGTGACAACTCTCAGAGTTACACTGTGAGACATCCTTATGACTTGCGCATTCCAAACGTCTGGTATATTAAAAATAATAATAATAATCCTTGGCATAGCGCCTTATAATGTCAGAAGGACGTCTCAAAGTGCTTCACAGGATTTACTGTGCAATAGAATGTATTTTGTAAACAAACGCAGCAGCACAATTGTGCAAAGCAATCTCCCACAAACAGCCATTAAACTAAGAACCGATTTTGTTTAGGGAATTGTTGGTCAGGACACCGGGAAAAACTTCCTTCTCTTTTCGAATAGTTCCATGTGATCGTTGACATCCACCTGAACAGGCAGACGGGACCTCGGTATAACATCTCATCTGAAAGACGGTAACACCGACAAATGCAACAGCCCCCAATGCTGCATCATAGTGTCACCTTAGATTACTTGAGTTCAAGTCCCAACATGGGATTGAACCCACAGCCTTCTGACTCAGATGTGAAAGTGCTAACACTGAGCCAGGATGCCAAGCATTAGTTCAACCCAATGTTGAGTTCATACCCTAACAATTCTTCCACTGCATTATGAAATGAGGCAGCTATTTCAATTCATTTGGGATTTCTATACATTAGCTGCCAAGTGCTATTTCAGGCACTTGGCAATCAGCCAAAAGTACGTAATTGTGATAGTTTAATTTTTTAAAATATCTTATCATTTCAGATATTCTCAAGGCGTTTAACAAATAATTACTGCCAAGTTTAATGGAAAAATGCAGCTGACATCTGAGTCAACAAGATCCCATAAACAGTCATGCAGTGAATCATGAAATAATCTGAAAGATTGTTACCCTACATACGGAGAGAAACTTCCTTCTCATTTTGAATGGATCCATTAATGGTCAAATGAAGAATGGGTATTGGTTTAACATCTTCAGCGCTTCAAGGTGCTATCATGTGTGAAGGGGGCTATATAAATGCAAGTTGTAATTGTTGTTGTTGTAACAACTCATCCAAAAAATGGCATTCCTGTTGATGCTGTCCTCCTCAGTCAATACCGTACTGGAGTTTCAGCCAAGACTATGAGCTTACATCCCTTCTGACCAAGAAACGAGTGTGTAATCAACTGAACCAAATTAAAACCACACACTTACCCATTAACCTGTTATACAAATATGAAGGTTTACGAAAAATGCTTAACATTTTAGAATGCCCCCCTTATCAGCGCAATGTATGTAGTTATCATGGGTTCTAGATTGCTGCTTTACCACTTAACCTTCATTAAATTAATGGATCCTTGCATTTGATATAGCACATTCCGTGTCGGGAGGATGTCTCAAAGCCCTTCACCGAATTTACTGTAAAATTCTTGTAGCCAAATGCGGTAGCCAATTTGCGTACAGCAATGTCTCACAGGCAGCCATGAAGTGATTCTCATTATTACATCTTTAAATTTGCAACAGTGGGTCGAACAAATCATGAAGAAGAATGCAACCATATTCAGATGGATTGTGGTCTTTTGGGTTACTGGGGAGATTGTGTTTGAATACAGATAACTGAAATAATTGTGGTGTCTTGTAGAGTAGTGGTTAGTGCGCTCGCCTCACAAGCACGAGGACCCAGGTTCAATTCCCAGGTGGGGCGAAACCTAAGGCAAGTTTCTTTACTCCACATGCCTCTGTTTACTTAGCAGTAAGTAGGAACTCGGTTGACAGTCAATTGGCGGATTGCTTTCCGAGGGGATTAACCCTGAAAAAAAATTGCTTACTCAATCCACAACTGTTTGTGGGACACTGTTGTGCGCATTTGGTTGTCAAATTGTGCCCACAAAATACACTTTACAACATATTCTGTGAAGCGCTTTAAGACATCTCAATGATGTGATTAGGTGCTGTATCAAATGCAAGGATTATTGTTATAATTGGTGGGGAGCAAAAAGAGGGAGAGTTTTTTAAATGGAATAGTTGGACAGGGTATTGTTCAGTAAAGAGACCAAGTAGAAATCCCAAATTTGTCTACATCAGTACCTAAGAGAATTTAAAGAGCAATAGCAATCGCTGGATTCAAACTGGACGTTTGCATTAACAGTGACTTCTGGTTTTTTTGATGCACTGCAAGACTATTGAACAAAATGCCAGCTATTTTGCTCACCAGCCTTTTTTTGAGGGGGAAGGGAATGGAAGGGAATCACCAGCTTGGAATTCACCATTTGCGAATCCCAAAGTGCATTTCCCAACCCAGAAGTTGCAGTCAACACAACACAAAAAATTTGGGTTGCTAAAAACTGCATTTCAGATGCCAATCAGTGTCAAATGCTGTGGAATTTATTGATCCCTTTTATAATTATAATAATTCATGACAAAAGGTCATCGATCTGAAACTTTAACTCGCTTTCTTCCCTCAGTAGATGCTGCATGGCCTGTGGAGTGTTCCCAGTGATTTCTGTTTTTATTATAATAATAATAATAATCCTTGCATTTGATATAGTACCTTATTATGTCATTGAGACGTCTTACAGGACATGCCTGTAAAGTGAATTGACTGCATATTTTGTGGGCGAAACACAATTGTATACAAATACATAAAGCCCATTCGTGAACATCTGAAGAAGAGGAATTATCCAAAGTCCTCCCCCCAATCCCACACACACTCTACATTTATGGCTCCTTGGTTTACAAGTGCTTTCCAAACTCTCACATTGCTTGTCTCACACACCTTTTGTATGAAGAAATAAGTGGGTTAAATATTCCTGTGAAGATGTCGTGCAGTTTATTTGCAGGCAAATAGTTAAAAGTCTTTTACTGTCGCTTGTAAGTTTTGGCCAATCCACCAGATGGCTCTGTTCCTTCACACAAAACATTGTTTTCTTCTAAAACAACTTACAAAGTGTTGATGAACCTGAATCTGACAGCCCATTTCTTCTTAAGAACCGTGGAAAACTGGCTTCCAAATTGAGACTGAATTGAAGGGTTTTATGTAATTCTGCATGCCCAACCTTTAAGACAAAATGGGTCTTACAGCCTGAACTCAGGTAGAATTAATTTCCCTCAGTTCTCACATTTCGTGCAGTCTATTGCGATTTTATCTTCCATGAAGTAGCAATGAGTTTGTTAAGCAAGGCATGAAATCAACTTGAGGCCCATGTGATTGAATTGTCTCAGTCCTTTGGAGTTTATTGACACGTAGGGAACAAAGCTGTTCCCAACTGGAACTTATTATTTCAATGTACCAATTATTGTTTGCAGCCCATGCTTAATGAGTGCAAGTGGTGTCTGAAGTATGAGTGCGAATGGTTTTAGTAATCCTTGCATTTGATACAGCGCCTTATCACGTCATTGAGATGTCTCAAATTGCTTCACAGCAGTGTCCCACAAACAGTCGTGGATTGAGTGACCAAATTCTTCTTTTTTTAAAGGATTATTACGCCAGGAAATCGATCCGCCAATCGACTAACAACCAGGTTCCAACTTACTGCTCTGTAAACAGAGGGGTGTGGAGTGAAGAAACTTGCCTAAGGTTTCGCCCCGCCCGGGAATTGATCACAGGTCCTCTCGCTTGCGAGATGGGTGCTCTAACCACTAAGCTACAGTACTCCACAAATAGGATCAAATTAAATAAATAACAGAAAACAACATGTACATTCTGTTTGACGTGTATTGTATTGAATTGAAGCAACAGACATAAGCCTAGGTTGCACAGTTTATTGTGGGGGGGAAAAACACATTCAATATCAAGAACATATCCAAAAAAAATCAAGATTTATGAAATGTGCAATTTGGAATAGACTTACTTGCCTGTTTGGCCCCTCTCCTCACTCTGTGTTCTTGCAACAACAGCGAAAAGGTGGATGTCAAGACATTTTTGGTGCTGCTAAAACCGTAGCATTCTCACCTTTCAGCCCATTTCGCCAATGCCCTACACTTGGAAACACATATTGTTCAGACGATCCTCTGTGAACTAATATTTAAAGCTTCACTTTTTGTTTAATTAGCCCCCACCAACACAGACATATATCTGCAAAAATTCAGGCCATGTGAAGTGCAAATCCTCATATAAAATCCCCACAGTATCTCTTTCAATGCAATGGCCTCTTTCTTTTTCTTAAAATGTACAAGGAGCATAAGAAAATACCAAAATACTGTAATAGGACATTGGCCAGAACTTACAGAAAATGTTTTGTGGACAAAGTGTATCCCAACCTGTAAAACCAACGTCTGTAAAAAGAACATAAGTCTTTCATAGATTAAAACTTTGATAAAAAGCTTAACTTCGTATAGTAAAGATTGATCCATTGATCTTGGCCTCCGCTGGCCAACTTAATCTAATCCTAATGGAGTGGGTCAACATTTCGGGTCCACGACCCTTCGCCTGTACCCTCCATGGACCCGAAACGTAAACTTACTTTCCTCTCTCCAAAGATGCTGCCTGACCTGCTGAGGGTTCCCAGCGACTTCTGTTTTTGTTTCCGATTTCCAGCATCTGCAGTATTTTGCGTTTCATTTAATCTAATCTTGTATCCCTGCTCTTTCCCCCCATTTCTCTCCATCTGAAGATTCTTTCATAGATAACAAAGCTGAGATCACTTTATTGTCACAGGCCTTCCAAACGGGAAGGTGAGAAGCAGCAATGATGAAGTGACAGTGTAGAGCAGCAGAAACTGCAGGAACTGTTACCATGCTATTTCGTTCAACAATACTGGACGGCATGTCATCTTGGCGATTTTCTTTTCCCCCAACCGCAGCAAAATAATCTGTATAATTAATTACAGTTTGTGTCCACAGCGAACCAGTTTCTGAAATGCTCTCTTAAAATCTTCATTGAAGATCGTGTAAATAAGGGGATTAATGAGCGAGTTGAAGTAACCCAGCCACGTTAGGAAATCAGACATCTCCAGAGAGATATAACACGAGTCACAGACGTTCACAATGAGTTCCTTGAGAAAGAACGGCAGCCAGCAGATCACGAATGCACCCAGGATCAAGCCCAGGGTGGTCGCCGCTTTCTTTTCTCTCGTGCTTGAGATTTTCAGCCTTTTCCGGGACTTTTCCTGCTGGGAATTGGCGTGGGGATGCCTGCTGGACGTGATGTGCGCTTTATCCCCATCCTCAACCATTGACGGATCTGACACTGACTTTTCGGGTGCATTTAAAGCCTTGCTGCTTCTAATTGCAATGCTGGAGACTTTCCCATTCACCTCTTCCACGTGTCTGCTTGCGCTCCTTTTGAGGTAGAGCATTTTGGCCGCCCGATATATTTTATAATACAGAATGAGAATCAGAGCCAAGGGGATATAAAACGCTCCAAAAGTTGAATAGATGGTGTAGAAAAGATGATCGTGCTTAATCATGCATTCGTCCTCCTTGTTGTTGCCTTGGTGCCTCCAAATCAGAGAAGGCATGGATATAAAAATGGATATGACCCACACAATGGTGATCATTATTCCTGCCCGCTTGGGGGTCCTTTTCTGTGCGTATTCCACGGCATCTGTGATAGCCCTATATCTGTCCAGGGCGATCGCTGCCAGGTGAAGGATGGAACATGTACAGCACGTGATATCAATGCTCAACCAGATGTTGCACACAATTTGGCCCATCAGCCAGGTCTCCTTCACAGTGTACACAATACTAAAGGGCATCACCAGCACAGCCACCAGGAAATCGGTCACCGCCAGGGAACATATTAGGTAGTTGGCTGGGTGGTGGAGTTTTCTCGTTACGATGATTGCGGTTATCACCAGGGAATTGATGATTGTGGTCACGATAGCCAGCACAGAAAGGGACAGGGATATCAAGACTTTTGACGCTTTCCCCTTTGCCAGTTCTTCTAAACTGGCATTGGCGTAAGTCCCATTTAGCAGTTCCATTTTGCTCACTTGGGCGAGAAATTCCTGTCAAATTGACGCAATCTGCAAATGAAGAACAGTAACGATGATATAAACAGTTTCCAGGACAGTTAATAATCTTTGCATTTGATATAGTGCCATATATATGCCATCACAATATCTAAAAGCGCTTCACAAAATCTTAATGGGAATTGTATTGACTGTATTTTGTAGGCAAATTCAGCAGCCAATATGCACTCAGCAATGTCGCAGTAAATCTTGTAAAGCACTTTACAACAACAAAATAACAACAACAAAATTACATTTATAGAGCGCCTTTCACATTAGGAGGACATGCCAAAGCGCTGAAGATGTAAGATGTAATAATAATAATAATCTTTGCATTTGATATAGTGCTTTTCACATCTTTCTAGACGTCTCAAAGTGCTTCACAGAATAGACTGGAAAGTGAATTGACTATAATTGTGGGCGAAATGAAGAACACTTTAAGATGTTCTCCTGAAGTGAAAGGCACTTTATCAAACGTAATGATTGTGAGTTTATTTTCTCTCCGTGTTTGTACTCCCTGTTATATCTGTTAAATGCTTTGAGACATTCATCCTACGCAAAACTGTTGTTGTTGCTTTTGCTATACTTATTGGATATGCCAAAACATTAATGTTGAGAGGAACTGCAAGAAGTGAACGGCGAGGAAATGCATCCAATTTCTATTAAACACAAGAAAGGTAACAATAAAGAGATTTGTGGTTTAAAAATAGTAGTTTAAAACAAAGTGTGGTTTACAGTTTGCATTATTGATTGTTTCTTAGTTCCCTTCAGATAATATTATTATTAATAATAATAATAATCCTTATACATCATATAGCACCTTTCAGCTCTTTACAGGGGATAGTGGAAAGGATTGTGACTTTATTTTGATAGAGAAAGATAGACATGAAGATATTTGTGACAAGCCAAAGTCCGATATTTTGTTGGAAACTTTTCCCAGTCCTTAAGTTTTCAAATCAAAAATTGCTTTACTCTGAGTTCAATACAAATGAAGATTTCATCTTGTTCCAGGAATGAATGTTTCTTTCTCAGTCGTGATTCAATAACAAAGTAATTCACTACAACTCAAGGATATTGAAGCCTTCAGCCCACTATGAGTAACTGGCAAAATAAAAAGCTCCCATTGAAATGATAATTGAGATAAAAATAATCCTCACACAGTGCCTTATCACGTCATTGAGATGTCTCAAAGCACTTCACAAAATATGTTGTAAAGTGGGTTGACTGTATATTTTGTGGGTGAAATGCAACAGTTAGTAAAAATAAGTTAGGTGTCAGCCTGACTTGGTTGGTAGCATTTTCATCTCTGAGCCAAACAGTTGTAAATTCAAGCCTAAAATCAGAATTTTGAGCTCAAAGTCTAGGCTGGCCAAACCAGCAATTGTGGATTAACATGTACATATTTCACATTCTCCTTGTTTCAATAGTTTAAAAAAACTACTGTTTCAGTAAGTGATGGTTAACCCGAGATTCATGTAAATGCAATGTACATATCATGATCCATTAAATCACGATATAGGATCATGATATAATACGATACATATGTACGTTTATATAGCGTCCCAACATGCTGGACATTCCAGGATTTGCATCCTGTGTCAGCATGTACCTACGATTTGAGGGAGAGGAGGTGGTTGATATACTAGGGGCTTGCAGGATTAGGAGGCGGTGCGGGCAGTGATGGGGGCAAGGGTAGTTTTATCGGAGGGTGAAGTTGTGATATAAAGTTCAACATGCAGTTTAAACACAGTAAAATGCAGAGCGATGAACATTTTGGCAAAGTATGCAAAATAAAAAAAAAATCACCATTTGTTGGATCAAGTTCTTACGCTAGCAGAAGCCTTGCAGGATGCTTGCATTGACCTTGCAGCTGACTATCATCTGTATATTGCAGAAATCTTCACGACGTGTTACAACGGCAACAGAGCAGCTTTTAGCGGTCGTCTCATTTATTCTCATCAAACGCTCCACCTGCAAATCAAAGAGAATAGGCTTTGAGCAAGCAGCTCATGCTTTCGGACAAACTGAAGTATCTGCCACATGATGTGTGTGGACTGTTGATGCCGTGGGCATTTTATTTTCGGGTCAAGCAAAGATCTGAGATGGATGACTGGCTGAGAAGTTTGCACTTGCTTTGAAATGGAAATGGGGGCTCGGCAGCACAGCTGGGCAAAAACTGCTGTCTGGCAAGTGTTATGAAGTCAACTAGCACAGTGGTTAGCGAGCTCGCCTCATAAGCGAGAGGACTCGGGTTTGATTCCTGAGCGGGGTGAAACCTTACGCAAACTTCCTTACTCCACATGCCTCTGTTTACCTAGCAGTAAGTAGGAACCCAGTTGTTGGTCGATTGGTGAATTGCGTTCTGGGTGTAATCCCTTTAAAAAAAATTGGTCACTCAATCCACTGTTTGTGGGACACTGCTGTGCGCAATTGGCTGCCACATTTCACCCACAAAATACAGTCACTCCATTTTACAATATATTCTCTGAAGTGCTTTAAGACATGATAAGGCGCAACTACTTGCAAATGCAAGTATTATTATTATTATTATTATTATTATCCACATTCTGCCTTTGCGCTCAAACAAAGCAGTAACTTTCTTTTTTCATGAACTGGTTTGAGCCGTTTTCCTTTTATTTCAGAAGTTCTTCAGAATCAGAGTATGTCTTCCAATGAATACAAATAGATGGATTTTGAAACTGTAAAACTGTGTCAGTGAGTCTACAAAATCTGGTGAAATTGATATAATTTAGACTTGGGGGGAAAAAGAAGTACAATAATGTAGAAAAAGAATTAAATCTCAGAGAACGCCAGAGTTTTTTTTATTATTATAAAGAACCACTGAAAGAAATCTATCATCATTGGGTTGATCGCAGCGGTGTCAGTTGAGGAGTTGCAAGATGAGACGCAATTACTGTTTGCAACACAGGTTTGAACCGTGAATAAAATGTCACTCTTATTCCATTATTGTTGATCATTGCCTTATGACACAGTGGGTAAGTTTTATTAGCAGCTCAGCCAGCCATCTTTGTTGCTCTAACTTAATGATGGTCTGCCTTCCTGCCCTGCGATCCCAGATATCGCCTGTTATAGTAATTGCAACCTTGGCAGCACATCACAAAGCGTGCCCACCCCCACCCCCCCGTTTATTCCCCTCCGCCCCACCCTCCATAGCATAAGGATGTGCAATTTTAAACAGGAGAATCAACGTACATTTCAGAGAAAATAATCCTAGCGCCAAACAAATTACGTGCTCCATCCAGAGCAATCATCGTACTCCACTTCTGAGTACACAATCCACTTGTTATCACTACATTTTTACAGCAAAAGGGGTGAAATTTTGTTAATACGGCCTGCCTTGTGTCTTGTCCTGAGAAATCTCTTAAACATCAGTTTTTTAAAATATATTATTTCTCAATGAAGTTCAGCATTCGCTCGCCAAGTGCTCAATTCTGTAGCCATGTAGCTCAGTGGTTAGAGCACTCGCCTTGCAGGCAAGAGACCTGGGTTTGATTCCCGATAGGGCAAAACCTCGGGCAAGTTGCCTTACTCCACATGCCTGATAATAATCCCTCGTTAAGGGGCTAAATGGCTAAATGGCCTTCTATGCTTTGAATTTCTATGCTTCTAATGACACTGTATCAAACGCGTGCATTATTCTTATCTTGTTCTGTGACAGATATATTCACAGACTTTGAATGTGTATTGTGTTGTTGATCATCTCCATGATCTCTGCAGCTTTTGCTCTTTACTGTTTTTATGCCCCCGGAATACAATACTATATTTCTCTTGAATCAGCTTCAGTGATCTTAATGTAATACAGTATTTGTATTCTCCTTCTGCTTGCTGGCTTTTATGTGCATTCCAATCTGTTTCTTCCCAAGGATGTTGCTCTGCTTGTATGCGCTTTACATGCCTGAACCACTTCTATATCAGTTCAATGAAATAATTCTGGTATAAAAGCTATTCAAATTCACTTTTCATCTCCAACCTTTATGCATCAAGCTATTAGTCTACAATAGTAGTAGTGATAGTGCTCCTTACACTAGTAATATAGATACAAATTCTCCTCTGTTCCCCAGTACTATAGCACAAACTATTTTGAGATCTTTAAATTGATCGATGATTTATTTATATCCTTAGCTACATTGTTGTTGGGATATTATTCCTGTCGGTGATGTGACTCACTCAATCCCACTCACACATTTGTTCCGATGATTCCTGTTCATGTGCATATCAGATTTTTTTATACAGTGTGATTTATTCCAACGATGAGCTATTTCTCTGCTTACTGCAAATCCTCGCAAGCTCTTGTCAAGAATATGCACAGGCCCTTCCTCACCTCCCTCCCTCCTTCCCTTCTAACACCCTCCAGCCAGCTCATCTAATAACCCAGATAATTGAAATTCACGGTACTAGGTGAATTTATGGTTATACCCCATTTATGTGGCTATCTTAAACCTTTTAGCAAATGTATGATTACATTTGGCAGAGGGCTTGGTGTGGGAGGAGAATGAAGTAAAATTGCATTGTGGCTCCATATAAAGACTGAATATGATTTCTGCTCTTTATCGTAATTTGTTGTACACTAAAGCTCCGACAACTAAATTAATAATAAAAACATCAGCATTCTTCACAATTGTAGCATACTACAGTAAAATCCAAAGATCATTCTTGTAGTTCTTGCTCTAATAGGATGCATTTCCATTTCAACAATTATTTTTAATTTCAACAATTTCTGAAGTTTGGCGAGCAGAGGAGTGAGGTAAGGGAAGAGCAGAGAGGCTAGGCTGTCATGTGATTTATAGGTGAGGACTTTGAAATCGATTCCCTGGGATTTGTGGAGCCTGGCGAGGATTGGGATCTTGTGCAAGCAGAGTTTAGTTCAGGTGAGGATGTGGTCAGGAAGTTTTAGATGAGGACATTAGTCAAAAGGAGCTCAGAAGGTGCCTCAAATGGTTTAAATTTGGCAG